CTTGGGCAGCAAGCAGACATGGCTGCGGTGTAGCCTCCTCAAGGAGTCAAGGGGTGTCCAAAGCAACTGGTATTTACAAGAAAGCAGAGAGTGCATCTGGCTTCTTGGCTAGGCAGTCAGGGCACTAAGGAAGGGTGTGACAGCTGTTAACTAGAGAGTAGACTACCCTGTCACCAGCATCTTGGATTATTTAGAGGAAAACGAATATCAAGAGGGATAATGAGGATAAAGGTTAACCACTAACATTTAACAGCAATGCAACAGTATTTAACAGTGTTTGACCCCTATCTTACCCACCAGTTCCAGGTTCTCAAGTTACAGAAAAGCATCTTAGAAGGGAGAAACTTGAAAAGTTGTTGTACTGATGCTCCCATGTTATCTGAACCTACATGGGAAATGAGACTGTCTGATGAGGTGTCATACCAGCATCTGTTCAATACATAATTGTTACAAGTGGGTTTTCCCACCAGCCTGGTTGGTCCTACAGCAGTGCCAGCCCCAAATAACATACAGAGACACTGTATTAGATATAGAGCTGTTGGCCTGTTACTAGCATTTCTTATTGGCCAACTCTGTCTGTCTTAAATATTAACCCATTTCTATTAATCTAAGTGTTTCCACGTGGTCTCATCTTGAGTTCTGCCATCTTGCCTACACGTTGAATCTCCTCTCTACTTCTTCTTCTCTCCTCCTAGCCTCCTAGTCCCGCCTATCTTGCTTTCCTATTGGCCAACAGGGCTTTATTCATTAACCAATAAGAGAAATATATTTACAGAATGACATTTCCCTTCACATAGTTAGCTATGAGCCTTTTGGGTCCACCACATGACCAAAAAAAAAAAAAAAAAAAAAAAAAAAACCAGGAAGCAACCAAAATTTCTACCAGTAGGCAAATGCACAAACAGAAATATTCTTTTTATTTGATGGAATGGTATTCAGCCATAACAAATGACATGCCGACAAATACTTTACCAGGACAACTTTGAAGCATTATGCTCGGCAGAAGAAGCCAGGCACTAATAGCTACAGGGAGTGATGTCCTTTATATCAAAGTCCTAACTATTCTCAAAGTCTGCAGAGACAGAAGGATTTGCCTGGGTGGAAAACAGTAAATAAGACAATGACTGCCATTGATGGTGAGTTTTGAGGTAATGAACATTATCACAAGTCAGCAGCGATGGGTACATCACTTGCACACTCGAAGAAGGGAAATTTCATTGTTGAAATTATATCTCAGAGAGCTTATAAAGCATGAACATTAACACAGATGCTCAGAGTTGGGCTGAGATCACAGTTTCTCTGAGCTGGCATTAGAAGCTTCTCATAGGTCAGGGGGATTGCTATGACCACATCAAGATACTACAACAGGGGAGGCTTGATTCATCAACGCCCACCCAGTCAGGAACCAAAGAATACCACAAAGTCACACCGCACTGTAAGTCTCACACAAGTTACTGGGGGCTGCCTTGGTTTGGGTTAGCAACAGCAGCAGCAGGGAGCTGAGCAGGAGGCAGGCTTTACAAATGGTTTCTAGGTGGAGATTTCCAGGGTGGGGATTGATGAAATTTTAAGCCAAGTCTGGGGATTGGTGAGATTTTGTGCTCAAAGATTGATGGGTTTTAATAGGTTTCAAGCCTGGAAGAAGACTTGGGCCTTTTACTCCGTTCCATCTTGACTTAAGGTCAGAGAGTTCAAACATATTCTTGCTCCTCAAGTTTAAATAGCAGTGTTTGGCCCAAGGTGTGGCTACTGGATGTCATGATCCTCAAGACCAAATTATAGGATGTTTGATTTAGGGCGTGGTGACCAGATGCTTTGGGTATTAAGTAGGTAATTAACGTTTGCTTGTTCCTTGTATCACGGTAAGGAAGTCTTTTGTCCTGCCCTTTTTCTTAGGGTATATAAAGGGCTATGAGTAATGAACTTGGCGCATCTGAAGTATTCACCAAGTGGGTTTCCGACTCTAGCTTCCTTTTTCTCAGACCTCACTCTCTCCCTTTCAGAAACATTCCAACAGGTTGGCTGGACCTGCCACAACCTCATACTGTTCTTTTAAAAACATTTTGAGAGATATGCCAGACTTCTTTGACTCCCCAGGGGAAGCCTTACCCTCTCTGAGCAGATGGGGGTTGTGGTAGGGGGAAAGGTGGGGAGAGCAGGAGGAGGGGATGGATTAGGAACTGGGAATGATATGTAAAATAAGATTGTTTTAAAATTAAAAAAATGATATTACTTATTGTTCATACCCTTGCCAGTATACATGTGGGGTTCAGAGGCCAACTTGAGTTGCTTCTCTCCTACAATATGTACTCTGGGTAAGGGAACCTGGGCACTCAGGCTTAATGGTGAGTTCCTTTTCCTGCTGAGCCATCTCACTGAACTACAGTGTTTATTAAAACATCTTTTAGGCGCTCCTCTCCATCCTTTATGGGTCTCTTACCTTATGTACATCCGCTTCTCTTTATTCTGTATTATCTTTATGCCTGGGACTGTATAGCCTTTATTGACCCATCTCAATAAGCTCTTTTCTTCTGTCTGCCTGAATCCGCTGAACTCTAATGAACCCTGAGTTTCTTGCCAGGGATTCCTACTTGTTCGCCTATGTTTCTCCATACATTAGACGTGTAGTTTCCTTGTTTGTTTCAACATATTACAGTAGCTAATTTAAGGCCATCTGGACTTCCTTAGAGACAGTTTCCACTGTTTTTGCTCCCCCCCCCACATATGAACTACATTTTATTTCTTTGGGCACCTCGTGATTTTGAGGTTAAAAACTTAACACAGTATGACAGTTCTGTAAAGAAGAACCTTCCCCTCCTCCACAGGTGTTGCTGTGGCTCCCCTGGATTAACTATACCTATAAGGCATACTCTTTTGGCATCACTGTCTGGTTAGTTTATGTGATTGCCTTCCCACCCACACCTTCCTACGTCTCCCATTCTACCACCTTCCCCTCCCCCCCTAGATTTCCCTGTTTTGTCAACTTCTGTCTCTAGAGGTACCACAGGTTCAGGCAGCTGCAATATTACGTTTGACAAACACAGTGCACACAGATTTCCTGGACCCAGACAAGTCACACAGTAGCGGTTTTCCAGGAATAAGACATTTCCTGAATCCATTCTTTCCCTTTGGAAGTTGTAGGTTTTCATCGCTGTCATAGCCTTAAGGCTGTTGTATGGTTTTAAAAAACATATTCATATTTTCTAACTGATGTTACTATTAGAATGTAAGAAATGGAGATTTACAGCTTCACAACTGAACTCATTAAACATCTGTTAAACCTGAGTTTTTTGGACTATTCTCTTTGAGTTTCCAAGTAGGCAACTAACTGTCTCTGAAGATACATTTCCCACCCAGTATATACATTACAGACAATTTATTTCTGGAGTTCTGGAGTTATCTAGGAGTTCTAGAATAACACCAAATAAATTAAGACTTCCTAGAGATTTCTCATTTTTTTGTGACCCAACTATTTTTAAGGTAATTATGCAAGTAGCTTTTTAATCTCTATTTTACTATTACATGTTTCACCACATTTATGTTCAGCCTTTAATAAAACTGTCAGGAGGGAACTAGAATTTGCTGAGTGGGAACTCATTACACAAGAGTCTTATATGCTCAGTCAATGTTTGTGGATCATCTATCTATCCAGCAGATTTCAGTTATCAACTGCATGCTCATGACAGCCATCAAAAACTAATATTCACAGTTTCTGGTCTTAGTGGCTTATAGTCCAGGCAGAAAAATCATAAGTAATGCTCAACCAAAACTTCATTAAGATGAACAAAAGAAACATCGTGCCAAGTGTCCCTCCCTCCCTCCCTCCCTCCCTCTCTCTCTCTCTCTCTCTCTCTCTCTCTCTCTCTCTCTGTGTGTGTGTGTGTGTGTGTGTGTGTGTGTGTGAGACTATTTAAGGTCAGACTGCTGATAAGGGACCCAGAGGGAACCAACTTTGAATTTACGTGAAATGAACATTGTTTAGGCCAGTATCCTGGGAAGAGCATCAAGTTGATGCTGAGGTGGGAAGAACCATGGTAAGTAAACAAGTATAAGCAGACCCTACAGGATACGCGGCCGGCAGAGTTTCAGTGCATGGGAGCTACAGGCTCTTAGTCTTTAGTGCAAGGGCAGTGGAAAACAGTAGTTGGGTTTTTAAAAGATTCCCTCTGCATTTACATGATGCTATTTAAGTCCCTAGCTACATACCTACACAAACAGAGACAGGCAGGAACCCTGCTAGACCTCTAGGAAAACAGATACTTTAGAAGGAACTAGATGCACTGGCCTTGAACGTTTAATGTTTGTCATATCAATTTGGAAAGCAGAGATTTGGAAAGCAGTGATTTTAAGAATACCAAATTAAAAAAAAAATGAAAAAAAAAAAAAAACAGGAAACTTGTACTTCAATATTTTGAGTCTAGGTAAGAGAACAAAGAAAAAGAAGGTCTTTCAGGAACTGACAGAGAAGAGTGATGCAGAGAGGGCCAGGGTGTGACTCGGTGGTAAAGGGCTTGCCCGGCAGGAGGACTCCTGGTTGAAAGCCAGTCTTGGCTGCCCTATCAACAGACAAACAATGCCAACCAAGGGTGACATTTCAGCATATGAGCAAAGAAACTAATAATGTTAGGTGTGGAGATGCCTAAGAGAGACTACACAGTGTTTCCTTACACCTGCTGGGATACTGGACACCCAAATGTTTCACCCTCGTTCAAACCTATCTCAGCAGCTCCTTTAGGGACTTCTCGGTGTTCCGGTCTTATTTAACGACTTTTCCTACTAAACCATTACCCTTCAAAGAGCTGCTTGCAAAATCCAGAGTCTGTGAGCTCAGAGGACAGTCAGAGCTGAGACAGGAGCAAGAGCAGTATCAAACCACCTGGACACCGGAAGAACGCACAAACAGCACATATCCACGACTGCCGTATCACGAGGACTTTCCAAATCATCTGTTCCCACACCAAGAAATTTATTTCAGGAGACAAACAAACAAAAACACCATATTACAAGTGAGCTAACAAAAGTTTTATTGAATAAATACATGTGCTGTTATGTAAAATTAATTAAGCAAAAAGCACATTCTATGATTAAAAAACCAAAAACCAATCCTCCATGGTCCTCCTCTACAGTGGGTAATCCAGAAGGGACCAGTCACTGCAGCAGCAACCGGAGAACACACATCCAGGAGCCTGTGCTCTCTGCATCTGCCTGGGGATTGTGAAATAACCCTAAGCTGTCCTCCCGAGGATTGACCTCTGCATGAAGACTGCCTGCAGAGGAGCTCTCGGGTGCAGAGTGCAAGTGTTGGTGACGGCAGCTGCAAGGCTGCTTCTGTTTTCATCAGACATGTGAAAATCCCTTGGTACTTTAAGGCACAGGATAAGTCACCACTGGAGTAAGTCAGTGGAGCTGTACTTCAAATCACTAATTTCTCTTCACTGGTTTGGTTCCAAGTAGAAAACTTAACGTTCCTAGGTAAGTCATTAAAAACTGAAAGTTAACATTTTGAGAACCCAAAGTATCTTCCATCTTCAGGACAATGGAGCATGCCTTGATGGCAACTCAGCTCTCCACGTGCAGGACACAGGACTACAAGAGGAGGTGGGCTGGGATTACCGGACTTTCTCCTTCCAAAGAGCACAGAGACAGCTGCTAGAGGACTCAGGCGATGCAGGTGGGGAGGCTGTACCTGAACTCACTGGTGCCAGCTTTTGTGACTGCAGCAGAGGGTGCCACACTGAGGACTTATTAGGGGACTGTACCCTTATAAATATTCAATTTGCCTAAGGGCTAAGAAAAGTACGCTGTAATAAAATGCACACCGAACAGATTAAGAATGTGGGTACAAAAACCAAGATATTTAGGTTGTTGGTGGAACACCACTGACATGATAAAATTTCAGCAAGAAAATCTCCTTTACAGATTATGACTGAAGCCCTACAGTGGACCAATTGAAAAAGATTCTTAAGGGAAAAAAAAAAAAATCTAACGGCATGGTGGGCCACAGACTCCATTAAAAATGCACCCTGGGGGACATTACAGACTGAGGCACACTCTCATCTGCCAGGCAGGAGGAGAGTATCAACGAAACACTTTGTATTCAGCATAGGCACTTGGGTATGTTTAGTCACATCAGCTTCCCATGGGTGCTAAGTTCCAGGAAGCATGTGAACGGAAGGGACTACTCCAATCTTGATTGCAAAGCTGCATTTTCCTGCTAAGGTGTACATAGCTTTAAATGGCCTCACAGTGGAGAAGCCCTTTTCTCTAGCTTGAAAGGCATACTGAAAAAGTCTATCCACATCTGTGCATACTTTGTTTACAGACATGCATAGCTTATAACACTGTGATACAGCCTCACCTCACAAGAGGTTCTGGGAGACTCTTACACATGTAAAACATGCTTTTCATAATCTAAACAGAAAAAAAGGATTCCAAAATAAAACTCCTGACATGGCACAAACTGAGGATATCCAGAAAATGTCAAGACTGACAGCTGATGTTGCTGGCACTGGGCAGGATCTCTCCCTTTGTTGTGTAAGGTCCCATGTATCAAGGGAAGCACAGGAACCTCCATCCAGAGGTGTGTATCCTGTGTGATGGATGTAGAGCCGGGTCCTTCATCCAGTTTGTTTCACCACTTTACATTAACAACAGACTTACAGGCTTACATCCAGTCTGGACAATACCTCATCTCCTAATATTAGAGATCCGTTCCTATGCTTTGGGCAAAGTATAAAGTATGCTTTTCTTTTCCCCAAGATAGGGTGTTGCTGCACAGCCCAGGCTGGCCCTCTAACTCTTAGTCTTCTCGCATTGGCCTCCCAGGCATCCTGGGTTACGCGTAGGAGGTACCACGTCTGACACGCGTCTTATCTCTGCACTACCTCATCAATCAGTTATAACAATTACAAATGAACAGCACATTTCTTGCTTATGTAATAAACTTCATATGAGTATACTGTGATTCATGAGCTTTGACAATACTCTTGGTATTGTCTATTACTCAATTATACACTTTTAGAAGTCATTTACTGACTTCTCACTATATTTTCCTATTTACAATAATGTTAATAATTTGAACACTTTCTTTTATCATTCATACTAGACATAAATATCCTAATATTTAATAATCTTTCCACTTTTCCCTTAAAAAAGCCATATCACACAACAGATCTCTGAGAATTTTTTGCTGAAAAGATGAAAATGATTATCTGTCACAGAATTTAATAAGTTTTAGAAGAAAATATGTATTTCCTTGGTACATTTTCTTCTTTATCCAAACCAGCATGTAGACATTACAAGAAACAGCGTCTATTTACATGGTGTAGTGCGTCTCCGGGATGCCGAGGCAAGGCAGAAGTCAGCGGGCTCAGGGTCCTGCTTTCCAGCAGCCGTGGCTGGCAGGGTTCCACATAGCACAGGAGCACACTACACCACTGCACTCTGAAGTGCCTGGTGAAGTACTGGAACTCAACAGGGTAATTTAACAACAATATTGACCACATTTTCCCACAGTGCCAACAGTTTTATAAAATTATTAAGGTATGTATAACTCAATACTTAAAATTATAATAGCATTGGTGCATCTGCAGGAAAGTGTGTTCCATGTTGAGGTGGTGTGTGAGATACACTGAGAAACGGGCCATACGTCCAGCGCGGCTACGTTATCACCTGTGGCCTTGTCCCATCTTCTGTGAGGTCATACCTGAGGAGGCAAGAAAAGCACAAACGCTTTGGGTCAGCACGGCGCTGCGCACACACGGCTAGGCTCCTCTGGGAGCTGCCTGCTACTTGGCATAGGGGTTCACTCACCACTGGGTCCAGCCCTTGGCAAGTTCTTCGGACGCCAGAGCAACCAGCACCTATGGGTTAAGGACGGTACGTGAGAACTGTTGAGTAGTTCCTTTTAGACCACCCACCCTCCTCCCTACCTCTCTAATTGCCGACTTTAACAATATGGAACTCTCCCGTTCCTCAAAACCAAGGCTATCATTTTCGGAACTCTTTCCATCCTTCACATGGCTGAGTATGTCCAAGAGATCCTCCTGGTACCTAACATTATCAAGATGATTATGAAAGGCAGGCAGAGGCAGCGTCTGGGGAGAACGGCAAGTGTGTCCTCAACACCAGTGTGTAGCTTGGATGTGAACTGACCCTGGCAGCAGTGGGAAACGGTGGGTGGGTAGGTGGGGGCCGGCTGTAGGAAGCAGGTCACTGAAACCCCTGAAGTCAGGAGGGAAAAGTAAACCCCCTCCTCCTTTACACACAGCCTGTCTTAGCTATCTGCTGTAGCCTAGCTAGCACAGACTTTTCACTTCCAACGCTGACAAAGGCGCACCGATAGCTCGAAGCCCCTTTCCCTATCTAACCGTCTGCATGCTGTCAAAGAATACATAAACCTGTACCAAGGTTAACTGTGACATGGAAAAGACAAAAGAAAATCTGGAAGAAGAAAGCCAGTGACATGCCAGAGGAAGAACAGCGTTTGCTAAGGCAGTGAGTGGGCCTCCGAGAAGGCGTTCCTTCATATTTTCTTCCAATGCAGTACTGAGGACTTTTTAAACCTTTCTTCAAACGCAAGTTCCTGATATTAGTATTAGTAATAATCCAATAGCACAAATGCACAGCAACAGCTTTGTTTTTGTTTTTACGAGACAGGGTTCCTCTGTATTGTTTTGGAGTCTGTCCTGGAACTCACACTGTAGACCAGGCTGGCCTCAAAACTCACAGAGATCCACCTGCCTCTGCCTCCCCAGTGCTGGGACTAAAGGTGTGCACCACCAATGCCCAGCTATGACAACAGCTTTGCACTGATGTCTTAGCACGATGTGAGAAACAAGCATTAATCTCAGAATGAGCCTCCTTCCTTCCCACTTATGCAAGCTGTGATGTAAACTGCACTACAGGGAAGTGTTCAGTTTTACAGTGTGTAAGACACAGGACTTAAAACATTACCTTGCCAAGAAGCCCTTTATCTTTGGACAGGAAGCCGCCACTGTTCTTCACCGCCACGTCCAGGGTCCTTCTCTGCACCTCAGGCAGCGACACACTGAAATCGAAGCTGCAAGAGCAACAGATGCCTTCTGTCAATTCTCTGTGGCTCTGTTGCATTTCGTTTTGACTAAAAAACGGCATGTTGTTTCTGAGATCGTTCCAGATGCCGTCTGCTTTTTCTTGTAAACCTGAGCTTCCTTCTAGGTACTCAGCTGGCTGACATCAATTTAAAATAAAGTTACTGCATGTACACAGTAAGGGAGAGGTAGCTCTAAAGAAGACAAAGCTCTGAGCCAACAGATACTGTTCTGCTGTATTATTTCCTCAATACTGTCAGAACTATGAGGTGGGGGCAGTTTGCACAGACTGGTGATCCCAGGATCTCTGGGTTACCTATGCACAACACAGTCCATTAGATTGGACACTAAACACACACAGGCAGCTATTATATAGATGACCACTTGTGATTTGTAATTTATATTTACACTAATCTTTGAAATTGTTTTAGAAGAGTAGAGCTTTTCTCAAAAATGTTTATTTCATGTTATTATCTTATAAAATTTTAAATGTGTCTTTGCGTGCTGCTTCATTTAAAATTCAACATCAATATATGCTACCCATCAAATCAAAGTTGTTTAGTCATGAATAATTTGACCTTCAGCCAGGCAGTGGCAGCACATGCCTTTTATCCCAACACTCAGGAGGCAGAGGTAGAGGGATCTCTGTGAGTTCAAGGGTAGCCTCCTCTACAGACCGAGTTCTAGGACAGCCAGGACTGTTACACAGAGAAACCCTGTCTCAAAATGCAAAGCAAAAAACAAAACAAACAAACCAAAACAAAAATTTGACCTTTAATCATCCACTCCCCTGTACAACTTTATAACTTGGATATATTATGTTTAACACCTCTGCTTGAAGGTCAGGTGCTTCTTACTTAACTTGTTTAACAAGCAACATGTCAACATGTGCTGGAATATGCTAGAGCATCTGTTTCTCAGCAGTATTCGAGGCTCAGATACGTTTCTTAGGACTGCCCTAACCACCTGCCATTTCATCCAGGTAGCCTCTTGGCTAAATAAACGATCCACTGTACCTCTGATCAAACACAGGGTTTAGTGTCTTCTTTGACACGTGTGTTTTCCTTCTTCCCGATCTCCTCTTGTCTGGCAATAAATACATGCGGACATATGGATCAGAGCCATCTTCTGAGAAGGCAATGAGGTTTCTTAGAACACAAACCAGAGAAGACTCAATATTAGAATTAAAAAAAAAAAAAAAAAAAAAAGAATGCCATCATATTCAAGTTACTTTATCTTAGCAAGTTTTTATTTCATATTATCTGAACCCAAAGGAGCAATATACGACAGATTTCCCCTAAGTGTGTTTCTGCACCGTCAGCTGCTGGCATCACTTTCAAATTTCTCTTTTAGCAGCTTTGCCAGAGTAACTTTAGGCTTCACTACCTAAGCCCAGTGTATGGGCGGGCATTCACAGCTTTGTGCTTCTAACATACTGACAAGGTCCCTCTGTCAGTGTGACCTTTGAGTGCCATACTGATTGCTTCTTTGGTACCTCCAATCATAGCTTCTGCACAGGGCCAGCCTCCGCCATGGACCTGTCCTGTTCCTTTCCTAGGATGACTAGTATGTGCCAAGCACATTCATTTACCCACAGCCACAGGTGGGCGGGTGGGCTGTCTTCAGAGCCGCAGAGGCAGCTTCTGCATCGTCCACCCTGGACAGCCATGACCCAGAAGGCCCCCAATAATCCCTCCCTGAACTAAACTCTACCTTTTCAGAATACGGGTTGTCAGTGTAAACAGTTCTATCTACCAGTGTTTTACAAAGACTTTTTATAAGCTAAAAATACTTGTACTTTAGATTGCTATTGATATACGCGAGGCAGACGGTAACAGGCAGTGCCAGCCAGCCTCACCTGCATGAGTGCACCACCACAATAAGCTTGTTCCTCTGGGAGCTGTGCCGGATAGTCAGCTGGATCTGCCCCAGGGGGGACTGTCCCAGGGTAGTCCCACTGTGGAAACAGAATAATGTCATCAGCTCTGCCCCATCAATACAGTAAAACAATGTGTATTCATATGGACAAAAAGGGACTTAATCACCCATGAACTTAAACATGATTTGAAACTTCCAGATATATACCAAGTTGAAATTATTTCACTTGAGGGTTGAGATTCTTTAATTATTCAAAATTGACGGGTTTCCAGTGAGCACTCAAGGTGCAATGAGACACATAGCCCCCGGCAGGACAAGTGTCGATCCTGTGGCCGAAGCTCGGCCTGCTGCCAGCCAAGTGTGCTATCACTGTGCTACACCCCAACCTGAAGCTGACCGTGTGAGAGAGCACACAGACAGCACAGGTCAGGGGAGCCTCAGGGACGCGGCACGTGCTGCCAACTAAGTGCTTTCTAACCACTGCTTCTGCTGTGGTGGTGGTTGCCTCATGACTGGACACAACAAGAGGGACAGTTTCAAAGACTGACCTTTCCACTTACCACAGGAGGACTGGAGAGATGCCTCGGCAGTGAAAGGCCAGGCCCACAACCAAAAACACATTTACCACAGGAAACGGTAAAGTCTAATGCTTACAGTAACTCTCCCCTCCTTATCCAAGGAAACCATCAGAACTACCTATAAATCATGGCAAACATCCAAAGAAAGCCAGCGGGGACTTGGTGGTGATGAGGGCCGTATTCTGCAACGGACCAGGCTCTGCCAAACCTTTGCCGGTGACATCATGTTTGGCACATTAGGAACTGTCCGTGCAGGTCAGTCCCGTCCCTGGAATGCAATGAGCGTGTGGTGGCCACACAGCTCTGAGTCTCCTGCTTTTCCCTCCTGCGTATGAGACCTCTTACTCTACTTCTGTTCTTAACACATCCAAGGTCCTAAGCAGCAAGTCTTACTTTGAAAGTCAAAGACTCAATGAACAAACTGGCACAATTTGGATTTCTTCCAGATAACGTAAGATCCCACTTCCCTCCCCGCGGCGTGTGTGGGACGGAAACTCTATGGGAGACAACAATGTGAGCATTAGTTACTTTTCAAGTTGACGCAGCCTTTGCCTCAGCTCCTGGGTGGCAATGGGCAGTGATATGTCTGAGGCGATGCTTGGGGTGGGCTCCTTGGCTGAGATGTGGCTTGGAGAGGCCAAGAGGCTGGAAGAGCTCCTGCCCAGGTCACGATGCCCGAGAGGGCTGGCCTCGGGGGGCTGGGGCTTCTCCTCCCTGACAGGCTTATCCTCTCCCATGCTGGGTGTTGACGGAGCAGTGTTGCTGCCACCAGTGCCTGGAGACACAGACGCCTGAGACTTGACAGGCACTTTCCTCCCTTCTTTGGAGACAGATGGCCGTTTCACTTGGGCTGAATGCTGGTAGTCTGGAGGCCTTTCCTGCTTCTCAAGATGGAGGACCTAAAGGAGAAGCCAGTGCCATTGGGGTACATGAGTGGCTGTAGATATATTCATGTGCAAGTGTTTGAGATTCAGATAATCTGTTCAGCTATGCAGTTATTAAAATAGTGTTTTACAGAGAATTACAGAAGCACATTTTATCAGGCATGGTGGCACATGCCTTTTATCCCAGCACATGGGAGAAGAAGCACTGGTCTACATAGAGAATTCAAGGACAGCCAGGGGCCACCTAGAGAGAACCTGTCTCCACAATACAAAACAAACAGTTTTTAAAAAGGCAAACTTTAACCAATGAAAACTACTCCACTTCTGCAATATAAACACCTTTTCCGTGCCTTCTTCAAATCTCTTCCACTTGAACATAGTCCAAGTAAAGGACAGGGCTCCCTGCTGATCACCCAGTGAGTCACGTGTCCTTGGCAAAAGATGAAATGTCACATTCTTCTAGGTGGTTTGCACCAGAAACTCCCAGACAAAGGAAAAATGCCAAGATACCTTGCTATCCAGAAAGATCTCTGCAAGCAACCGAGCCTAATACAGTAATAAAAGGACAGCCACCTCATCCTGCTCACTGTGGATACACGTAAGTAGGGTATACTCGGTGGACACTCCGGAGTCCGATTTTCTCTGGGTTTATTAACCTTCATTTCGCAGACTCCCCACATTCTACACCGTGACCAAAAGAGCTCTAGAACCGGCAGACAGGCAGTGCTGCTGTTATTTTGCCACTGTAAGGTTGTGCAAGAAGAACATGTCCAGTGTACCCTGAGCAGACTAAGACTACTGTAAAGAAAACACTCCCCATCCGTAGAGCACTGGCCTAGTGATTGCACTCAGGCTGCCAGGCATGAGACGCTCAGCTTTACCTGCTGAGCCATCTCCCTGGCTCAGCTCCAATACTTTAGTGACAGTTCCTAAACGTTTAAGCGTCTATTGTCAGTATTTACTCAGGTATCATTATTTTGGAGAAACCGAGTTTTTATTCCTGTGAATTCTACCTCTTATGAGGCTTTCTCAAAGTGCCTACTGAACAACTTTTGAAAGTTCAATGTTAAGGAGCAAACTCCATTGGCACGGACATCCTTCCTGGATGACCCTGGCCTGCCAATAAATCGGAAGAAAAGGCTTAGTTCAGAATGGAGTCTAGACCGGATTCCCATAATTCCCAGCATACTGTGCCTATGGTGCCACCTGCCACACTGGGATTGACCCACTGACACAGGCTGGAACGGAGCCAAAGCTGACCTCCCCCCCCCCCCGTAGTCCTGCTAAGAAGAGTGTGGTACCCGGAGGGCAAGCTTCATTTTTAGGGTGCTGTTTGGACCCGAGTTGCTGAGATGGAACCGCTGGTTTATGGTCATGTTGTCACTCATAAGCAGCTGGCTGAGCGGGATCCTCAGGCTCCCCAGAGAACACTGATGCTGCTCATCTTTGACCTGAAAGATGCAGAAGAGAAAACACAGAGCTCCAAGGAAAACAATAGGAGCCATGGGAAACGTAGCAAAACCCCAAAGCAAACAAAAAATTAAATCCAGCGTGAGAAACTTCAGGTAAGCATTAACAGTCTAGGGGCTGAGAGATGGCTCAGCAGTTAGGAGTACTTGTTCTTGCAAAGGACCCACATTTGATTCCCAGCACACAACCATCCATAGCTTCATACCTGGGAAGCCAGTAGCCTCTTCTAACCTCCATGGGCACCAGAGACTCACAGAGCATTTATGCAAGCAAAATACTCATATACATAAAACAAACCTCTTTTAAAAATGCAAAAAGTAATAGTCTATACAAATCTAAAGTCAGAAGGAAATATCTTTTAAATGCTTAAGTCATGTAGCACATGCTGCATGTGCAACTTCTACTGGAGATACTCGTCCATGGAGAAAATGCGCTACAAGTGGCTCTAACGCCTTCCCTGCTCAAAGTCTCAAAGTTTGATGGTTTAAGGCCTCTCCTCTAAAATACATGGTACTTATTTCCCATGAGGAATTAATCTTCAGCCTCTGTTATAACAACTATTCTCATCATGTCCTTGTTCAAATTAGTTTGCTCAAAGAAAGAACAAACTCTGGATAAAATGAACAAACTCCCTGAAAGATATATATACCACATATATAAGACATATATAAAAAAGAAATAGCTGACCTAAATAGATTGATAGCTATTGACAGAATTAAGTTTGTAAGTAAATACCTTCTCAAAATGAAAACTGCAAGTTATATAAGGAAAAAAAAAAAAAAACCCAAACAATTCTGTACAGATACTTAGAGAATATTCAATAGGAACAAATGCCCCCATTCAGGATGCTACCACTATTCTTGACATCAAAACAGGAAAAAAATATTAAAAAGAAGCAAAATTGCAGATCAGTAACCTTCGTGACTACGAAGCAAGAATGTCATTTGCTACTTATTAATTTAATTTTTATGTGTGTACTTGAGAGAGTTTATGTGCATTGTGTGTGTGTGTGGGAGTCCTCAGAGGCCAGAAGAGGGCATGGGATCCCTCAGAACTCAAATCACAGGCAATTGTGAGCGGCCATGTGAGTGCTAGAACAGGATCCAGGTCTGCTACAAGGGATTCCAGGCAAATATCTAAGCCCAGGAAGCGAGGATTTTAACAAGCTGAATATATGTAAAAGCAATCACAACTAAGAGGGACTTATTCCTAAATAAAATATTGTGTTTAAGGTACCCAAGTACTAAATGTGGAAAACAAATAAAAGTTTGCAATATTTAACATGTGAAAATCAACAACGTTATTTCCGGTTGAAAACCATATGTAGAAAAGCCTTTTGTGAAAGTCAGCACCTACTCATGATGAGGAAGCAAACTAGGAGGATGAAAGTCTATGGGAGACCAGACTCATGGGGTACTTCCGCAGGGTAAAGAGGGCTGAACAGGGAGGCCGGCCCAGAAAAGTCAGAGAAAAGCATCACAAAATCCTAAAATAGTTACAAAGTATCTAGTGGCATGGTGGCATACACCTGTAACCTCAGCAATAACTGCCAAGCAGCAGAACTGTAAATTCAAGACCACGTGATAAAATCAATCCACTACCCTATCCCACAAGCCAATATAACGACCAGCTACATGTTCTCTCTCTCTCTGAAATGGTGTCTGTCACACTTGCTGAGGAGACTCGGCCAGCTGGCGAGTTCAAGGATCTACCAGACTCCATCTCCCTAGAGCTGAGATTATGAATCCCAGGCCTGGTTTTTTTTTTTTTTTTTTTTTTTTTTTTTTAACATAGGTTCTGGTTATCAAATTCAGATCTCATGCTTGCACAGCAAGTGCTTTATTTCACTAGTCTCCTTCTGGTTTTGCTACTAGGTAAACCAGACTAGTCTTGAATTTATGACCCCCTGTCTAGGCTTCCTAAATGCTGGGATGACAAGAATCCACCATAATGTTTGGACACTTATATGTATCAGTAAAAATGTCAAAAGTACAAGATTAGGACCCATTTAATAGCTGGGGAAAATTGGGTAAAGCTCTTGTCTGGAATGAACAAGGCCCCGTCTTCAATCACAACTAGGAAAATAAGAAAGATCACTCAGATCATGACAAATATGAAATATTTAGGGATAAGTCTGACATATGTAAAAGACCTACACTGCACACAGAAGAAAAGCAATGGGACGCTCCTATGGACTGGAACATTCCCACACTGTCAATGTGTGACGCTCCTATGGACTGGAACATTCCGTGTTGTGGATCTGTCAGTGTGTGACGCTCCTATGGACTGGGGTGTTCCCTGTTCTGCATTTGTCAATCCCAACCACTGGTTTTGTAAGGTCAGCCAAGTTCTCACCAAAAGCATAGGTTCTCTGTGTAAATCTACCATTGGTACTAAAATTCATGTGGAATGTGGACTTAGAATTAGTCAAAACAACTTTGAAAAATTCGTTTGAGGGCTTACACAAGTTGGTGTTGAAATGTTCTCCTTCAACAGCAGGTGCTGGGGTATTGTTAGCGCAGAACCCAGGGCAGAGAGCTCTCCAGAAGCCGACTGCACACTGGGCCCGAGTTTCCACAGTCTCTAACCTCAGCACACGGAAAACAGTAACTTCTTCAACAATGTGCTCAACAGTTATGTAGCTAAATATTAAGAAGAACAGAACCATGACCCTTTCCTGATAGTAATCTGTATCACTCATATTTCAAAATATAGACACAAAATGCAGCAAAATACCTCAACTTCCAGGTCCTGGCGCTTGGGGTTGTGAATGAAGAAAGTGAAGTTTTCCTCCCACACTGGCTCACTGGTTTTGTACCGAATCTGTAAGGAATAAATAGCCCGTATCAGCTCTCCAGTGTTTTCTGTGGAAGACTACTGACTCAATGTTTGCTTGTTTAATGCGTATACAAGCACGGGGTGATTAAATCGATTACTGAGTCAGCACGGTGTAGTCAGCATGGAAATGTTCAAGAAGTGAGACACAAGCTTTCTGCGCGCGGTACACCGGGGAAAGAAGTCGGCACAGAGCCCATGCCCACTTGCCCAGGGACCAAAGCCTCTCCCTCCCTCCCGCCCGCCCTCCCTCATTCTTGGTGCACTGAACTGCACACAGCCCTGTTTCTTAAAGGGTTAACAATTAAAATGTAACAGCGGTCTGTGACTGGGAGTCATCTCTAAATTTTTATTTCCTGATCAGAAAAGAAAAGCATACAATACCTTCCTTGAATTCTGGAGCCTGTGTTTGCTGAATCTGAAGTAAACGTGTTAACTTTAAACTAGTTATTAAGTACTTAAAAGAAACGGGAATAATTCCGTTTAATCAAACAACAGCACTATCTGTAGGGTTTTTAAAATGTTATTTAAAAATAAACAATGTATCTGTTAATAACTTAAGCAGCTAGTACTTAAGAAGCAACTGCTTCATAGGGAAGCAATTGTCTCTTTGCCCACACACCACACACCTGGATACCATCTGTGGGGACAGTGACGGGTGAGGCTACTGTGTGGAGACTGTCTCAGAAACTCAAACTCTTACCTTACTCTCTTGAGCCTTGTGGCCGACTGACATCTGGACAAGAGGGTTTGGGTTGCTGTTCATTTTCCTCCCTGACTATCCAAAAAATAAAACCAGACAAAATAAGTGAACATGTTTTGAAATGGGTCCCACTAAAAATGAAGTTACAGTTGTTACCAGGAGTCATTTCTATTTTACCACTGATACTTTAGACACAGGGAACATCGAAGAACAATTACAGTAGAAAACAACCGCTAAGCAAACGCTAGCCATCATTCTTCATTACGCCCACCATGAAACGAAGTGGGAAAGCGTCCATTCATCACTTTGTTTTCAGAGACAGGGTGTGGCGATACTGCTTGTCACTCACTCTGTGACACGTGTATTTCTCCCACCTAAGGCTCCAAAGCAGCTGTGACCATGGGTACAAGTCCCTGGGCCAAGCTGCACACTTCTTATTTTAAAGTAAGCTACTTTGGGAAAGGTAATATTTTAAAATTTAAAACTGCATTATTACCTACAGCTACCAAAACTGACTTACTAGGATAACAAAAACATAGTAAGTGTAGTGAATAAATACATAGAGGAGACGAGGGTAAGAGTGTTCACTCTGAACGCCTCTCCTGCTAGAGTACCCAGCAGTGGACTCAGATGCACAGCTCCACACCTTGAACCTGCCACCATCCTCCGCTCCAGTAAACACAGTTATTAGATACGGACATTGCTTACCGGCTGCAAAGTAATTTATCACCAGAAGAATAAATGTCAGTTTAGAATTGCATGGAAGTAAGCAGATATAAATATGATTTGAATAATTCGTGAGCAAGAAAATGACAAGAAGCATACTCTAGCAGACAGCTGATAGGAGAAAACATAGTAAAACACAACACATACGTGACATGAGGTTTATTTATAACTTAGCCCCACAAAAAAAGGTGTGTTAAATGTGTTAATGTAAATTAGAGGGTCACAAAAAAGTATTTTAGTTAAATAATTTTAGAGTCAATCCTCAACACTACAGCAATGACAGGAATAGGTGTCAAAATCATTTGATTATTCAAAAATCGTGACTAACCCAAACCTACTGTGATAATCTATTTTCTGGTTCATCTTTCTGAAGTGAATGAAGTCTGCAAAATGAAATAAATACCGTTAAAGAGTTATCAAAGCCAACTGATTTTCTCTAAACTCATTTCCTTTCTTTGACATTAGGGTTCCTAAATCTGAGCTGAGCTAAGTCCCCTGAGGAGGACGCCCCTCCACCTCTCCTTTCTGGCCAGCTAAGAAACTGACTTCCAAGGAGGGTGTGCCCTGCCCACCCTTATCCTTGAGGTCTGGGCTGTGGCTGTAGGCCATGAAACCACACTGATGTAGCCATATCTGCCTTGGGTCTTTGATAAGGACTTGAGCTTATTTCTGACTAATACCAAGACTGTATCTGTGAAAATGGGGCCATTAAGTCTCAAGGATTTAATGCATCTACAATTTTAAGGTGCCCTTCTTTCTAATATTTTTAAAAATAGAATGAAGTTTATAACTGATAATACTATAAACCCGCTTCTGAACAATTTACAATTGTCACTGCCTTAAGCAATTTGTGCATTTATCCATGTATGTGAATGACACACTACAATCTATTTATTATAAGTCTAAAATTTCAGTAAATATAAAATTATTCAAACCTTGGCACTTTTATGTTTTTTTTTTTAGTAGTTTACAGAATAAGGGTGTGCCCTAACATAAATGATGTTTTAGATTATATAAATGAGGTTTTTAAACCATTAATTTTTCTACCATGACAGACTTTTAAATTATAGCACCATTCATTAAATGAACAAACTACGATTAAAAGAAAATATAGCCTTTTAGGTCACACTGTTGAATTTAAATTTCACTCTCCTTAACTTGTGATGACCGTGACCGATGTTTCATCATCGATCTGGGTCTCAGGTTCCATGTCTATAAAAGAGGCACAAGACCATTTTTAGAACTTGTTGTTAGGCTTAAATGAGCTATGTGTTAAACCAGATAATTATAGCACTTCTATTTACCTACCTACCTACCTACCTACTGTGCATTTTTATATGTAAGGTTTTAATTTACTTACTGATCCAGTGGGGAAGATACTACTTCCGCCCTGTAAGCAGGATGGATGAAATATCATCTGTGAACCACAGTGATGAGCAACATGACTTCAGAGCCTTCCTTCCTGACATCTGCTAGGCTGGCCAACAGGACACAAGAGTGCTGACCAAGGAGTGGCTACAGTCCTTTCACGAGTTGATATTGGTCCCAACTATGCTGGGAGGTGTAGTATGACCTGCATGACGCCCTGCTACAACTACACCACAGCTCCTCAGTACAGGTCACAATAAGCTTCACAAATAGGGTATTCACAGTCTCCTTTATTTTTTCAATTAACTTACTTTGCTAGATGAAACTGATTAAAACATTCCTCTTTCTTTGGAATTTTCTTCAGACAATTATATTTAAAGTACCCCTACTTCTCACTATAATTAAGATTAATTAAGAAACAAAATAATTTAACCGGAGAACACAAGGTATTGACATGGATGACAAGTGGAGCTTAGTTTTCAATATACCTCATTTGGTAAAATTTAAACCTTCTGGAAAGATCTATCACCCAAGCCCACAGCACCAAAGCCATGAGTTTGATTCAGTGAGGCCCTACTCAACATATTGGAAGAGGCAATTACTTAAGAATGCACTCAACAGTTTGCAAGGTGCATCTTTAAATCACAATATAAAATTCTGGTCAAGGTTTCAAACCGAACGTTTAGATTTCCATTCATAAGTTCAAATTCAAACAAAACACAGTATTTCAATGGCTTTAAGAGATAGAATGAAATCTAAAACTTCATAATGGAACTTTTAAATTGAAGTTTGGTTGATATAACTTCTTCTAAATACAAATTCTTGGATAACAAATATCCAATCTCTTCTACTGGACAATGGGTTATTAACTATGGTGGGAGATAAGCACCCACACAGGCAGGACAGCCAGAGTATCATCTCTTTCAATATGTCTTGATGAGCACTGCGGCCGCAAGGGAACACATTTACCTTCAAAGCTCTCTGAACTGCAGACTTCTTCAAGACACCGGAGTTAAAGTCTAAAGGGTTACTCTTTCCGGTCAGAAGAAAATGAATACACCAAGGGTTAATAAACATGCAATGAGGAGTTTATGTAAGGTTAATGACACAAAAATTCATGAAGATAAATGGATGCTTAAACCAAACCAAAAATTATACCAGCTGCCAAATTTGCCTTTATGCCCAAACTTTTACCTTAGAGTGACTGATAATCTAAACTATCATGGCGGGCATCCTCACCTTCGGCAGCCCTTCCCTTCCTCACCTCACCTCCAGTGTTTGCAGAAGTCAAGAGTGAGCCTTAGGGGAGGCTCTGCTCATTGTCCTTTGCCTGAAACCCTCTTGTCACCAGTTAGAAGTTCAATCTGAAGCACAGCAGAGACCATGCTTTCCCCACGCTGGAGCTGCTCCCAGCTACAGAGACCCACACCATCCAGAGATGGAGGCCAGCGCTCTGTGGACTCTCTGGACTCCCCATGCTTCCCAGGCATGGAAGCGCAGGCAAAGGAGGTCATCTTAAGACTCTCACCTGCATTTAAATGCATCCCACTGTTATAGGGTACGTGTCTTCCTGACTGAATTTTTTCAGTTAGCTGTTTGCTCATTCTCAAGTGGACAACTTGTGTTTTGCAAGCTTCCAGGATTAACATTTGAACTTAAAGGTTTTTGTCATTTTAGCTTTAATTAATTGAAAATGACATACTGGAATTAACTGATTAATTTTTTTCTTACTGTTTTATTAAACAGAAGATGTATGGAAGAAGTTGGAGAAATGGCTCCCCAGTCAGTCTCCTGTGGTGGGAGGCAGGCGAGAAGGTAAAGCACCTACTAGGGCTCCTGTCAAAACTAAATGGGTAGACTATTCAAACAGTCTACAAGGTTCTACAAAGACCCGGACCTACTGCCTCTGTCTCTGGATGAAGTCCAGACAAGGGTTCCTTAAGGAGTCCCCAACATTGCATTTTGGTTCCAAAGGAGCCTGAGTGATGCTTTCCGGAAGTGCACATGGATGCAAACAGCTGAGCCCAAGGCACCTCTTAACTCTAACATGCATCGATTATTGAGAAACAAAGAGAACAGTGGTAGTGCGAGCCAGGATGCAGCAGCAGCTGTGTGAGGTCACAGACAACTGTGTGGCATGCCGGTGAGAAGACTAGTCACTGAATACTGGGGGCAGCTGTCCAGGTGTGAGGTTCAGCAGCCAGGCACTGCGCCGTGGACCCCTGGGCCTCTCCGTCACTGGACACAGACACACCTGTCCTCCCCCCCCCCCCACCAAGAACCATGCTCCAGGGATATAGGTCACCTGACAGTGCTTGCCTAGCATTCAGGAAGCTCTAGGTTCATACCCCAGCACCTCAGGGACTTGGCATTGTGGTCCCCTGATCCCAGCACTTGCACGTAGAGGCAGGAGGAACAGAAGTTCAGTGGTTGCCCTCAGCTAATTAAAGTGTTTCAGGGCAGCCTGGATATATGAGACCCTGCGTCAAACAAACAGAACCTAAAGTTACTGTAAAAAGTATCTTTGTCCCTAAGCATCTGCTCAGAGGTAGCCGTTACATGGTTATGTTCATACATGTAAGGCAAGCACCATGAAAACAGCACTCATCTCGGGTCATCTCAGTTAGAGTTAGGGATCTGAGTGAGTGGTGAACCTTCTACAGCAATGAGGTCAGAGCTCTCATCTCAGACCCTTATATCCTTTGCGTCATCTTTATTTTCTGATCTGTGAAATGCCTGTCAATGCTAGGGATAAATGAGGCACAAATAGATCCCTTACGGTCTATGTGGCTACGGCAAAGCACCCTACACACATGAGTTGCCAAGTAAGCCTGATATTCTAATGCTGGATGCCAAAGTCGGAGAACACAGTCGAGCTGAAGCTGGAGTGGAAACTGAAGGTGCTTAAATAGACGGGAAATAAAAAAAGCTATGGACTGAAGCCATTTATAAAAAAAAAAAAAAAAAAAAAAAAAAGCTTTTTTTTCCCCCCCCCACAGGAAAAGTCTGAGAAAGATGATTTGATTTTACACTGGAAACCAACCAGTAAGTAAAAAGTAAGTGTATATGGTTACCGCAAAGAACATTTTATGTGGAGCGCACATCCTAGTCACATAGCTCAATGTGACTCAGAATGAATTCTGAGTTTGACCACTGAGGTCACAACTACAAAGCAACTCAAGAGTCCGACTCAAAAATATTTCCTTTCTGCAAAAGCAAACAGTTGTAGATGAGAAAAGAGACCTAGAAAAGTCACTGGAGACAGACTGATAGGATTATCCATAAGAGTGGCCTTGTCACTTAGAAGTTCGTGATGGCACTGTACCTAAGAAACAAAAGCACAGAGCATTTTCTACAGTGATGGCATACAACGCATTGTCATTCTAACTGCGTTCCTTTTGACTTCTGTTTTTGAAGCAGGGTCACAATACTGAAACAGAAAGCGTTCCTGCCTTAATGTGGACATCTGTCTAGCCAGCTTTCTTCTGACTGCTAAAAAGGCCTTAAGCAGGTAGTGCAGAGTTAGGGACACCAAGGTGCTGCTTACTCACTACTGTAACTCCCCTGTCCTTCGGGATATTTTAAAGCAAGGTAGGTATCCAAAGCTACTTCTTAGTAGTAAGAATAAACTGGGGACACATTTGAAAAGCCTTAGTGAACACAACTGGAAACTGCAAAAGAGCAAAGCCCAGCCACTAGAGATTCAAGGGATAAGTGGAATTTAGAAACCTGCCTAACCATTCTGCAAATCTGAAAGGTGATTTCTACACTAATTAGTAGACTAGTAGGTCTTAACGTGGAGTTTCTATGACCCCAGGGCAAACGAACCCAGCAGCCGCCAGACAGGCTATGAGAACAAATGTGAGGAGATCAAAGCGAAATTCCCAACTATTTACTTTGGGGAACTCTTTTAAGTTCCTGGAATGAAATAAACCACGAACCTGCGGTGGTTCCCCCCCTCCAGAGGCTCTGGTCAGGCCATGTGGCAGAAGCAGGCTCTCACAGAGATGGGACCATGACTAGTGACACAAGAGGACTGGGTGGTACTGACCGGAAGACAGCCCAAGTTCTAATGCTGCTATCCTTGTCGAGAAGGGAGAAGTAGGTTCAGGACAGTTTTGTGAAAGTTGGAGCAATGTTAATATATCTCTTCCCAAGATGAACCCCAAAATCAACTTCAACTTTTCGGCTTTGTTTTCCCTCAGAGGACTCACTGTAACACTTTACGGACCAGCAGCAGTAGAGTTAGTTCAGGTTAGTTCATCTCATGTCAGATGTACTCCCAACATCACGGCAGAGTCACATTTGACAAAACCAACATAGAACGAAGATGTGGTAACTGAAGTCATGCAAGAAAAGGACAATAGCATGCACATCATTCCAATGAGCAGACTGTGCAGGGGCTCCAGGCCACACCTGGGCAGTCTTCACTGAACACAGAAGAAGGAGCTGGAGGACTCACAAATAGTGCTCTATAGACTGAGGTAGTATTCTCACAAAACACTAGTCCCGACGCTCGCCTCTCTTTTAAGTAGCCACACCCAAAGTTTCCCTCGAAGATACTCTTAGGAAAGTAGAGACAGGAAGAGAAAGCAAAGAATGCTGGGTTGTGGTCAGTGGGCACACACTAGAAGCACAAATAAACAGGTGCAGACAGGCAAAGGGTCCCAGGGCACACAGGGACTGGCCAGCAAGGCCTCCCGATTAGCACTACAAACACTGGGATGGCTCTGTGGACCCTTTGCCTCTGATGAGCCATGGCACACTGTGAGCAAAGTACCCTTGGGATAGGAGAGCGGTGCATTCCCGGTCTCTTGAGCTTACATAACATTACCTGAATTTCAAATCGTTGGACAAAATGCATAGCTCTACAGACCTTTCTTCCATTTAAGCCATCACTATTTTCTATATCTAAGCTACACAGCAAATTCACTTCTTTTAAAATATTGTTTACATTCACTTGGGGTATGGGGCTTGCCAGGGCGTGCATGTGGAGGTCAGAGGATAAACCAAAGGATTCAGCTTTTGTAACCCATCCATCGTGTGTGTTTTGGGAACTGAACATGGGTGGCCAGGTTTGGCGGCAAGTGTCTTTTATACACTGAGCCATCTTGCTAGCCTGACAAATAAATGCCTATCAGGCATTCTATAACAAACTGTACTGTTGCCAAAAGCAGAAAGCCCTATTGTGTAAGGAATTCTACTGAAAATCTAAATAATAATGAAGTAGATATTCCCAAGTTTAAATAAAAATAGGTAAAGTCACAGACTTTAGATGGAAAGACTGGCCAAAAGATTAAGCTCCTCAAGAAAAATGCTAAGAACTTAAGTAGTTAGAAATTAGATAAGGAATTTTCATTAAAAGAAAGGGTACAGTATATATATATTCCTATTGCAAAATGCTCAATCATATTTCAGTTGTTAAGCTGACATAAAATGTATTAATGTACAAAGAACATTTATTTCATTTTTGTTCACAAAGCTCAAGTAAATATTCAATTTTTGAAAACTAAATGGCGCTAACTGATGCAATTTCACAAGCTATCAGGGTATACGTCCTAGGGAGATTGTGGGAAAGGTCGAGCGAGGTGCATCCTTGTCTTTGGAGTATGTTCACAAATGCACTCATGTGGCTGAGCGTTTCCTAGGAAGGGAGAATTATGCAATGGACAACCTTGGTGGGTAAAACCCCTGTAACTGATGACAGTGATCTTTCTTTCAACGAAACTGGCTGTTGACACAGTGACACAGAGAATGCCCTAGTGTGTAAGCACACTGGCACCCCCAAAGTTACCCAGCAATGTGACATTTATCTGTGGGGTTCACAGCAGCACAGTGGAAGATTCACTCTCCCTAAATGGTTGGATTATATTTTATATCCCCTCACCCCCCATAAAACCAAAACAATCTAATGCAAGCAAACAGACAGGCTTTCAGGCTAAACACTATGGTTTGGTACTGTTTGCGTCTCTGTTCAGCTGGAGGTGTCCCAGGTCCCTGAAGGTCCCCATGCCTACCTGGTGGCATGATCATGCCCCACCTGAGACCCTGAGGAAAGTCGCAGCTCAGCAGCTGTGAGCTACAGCTAAGACACACCTAGGGTTTGTGACCAGGGCTGCTTCATTTATCCCCTTTCTAAGAAGGGACAGTTTTCACTCTGAGGCAAGCAGGCTACAACAACTAGATAAAAACACACATGAGCCAAGCAAACGCTGCCTGGTGCCTCTCTGTTGCTGCCACACAAGATCAGGTGATACACTGTGGCTGAACAAAGCAGTAGTCTCTCCACGTCAGGCAAGCACTTGAGGGAGTTAGCTCTGGACTACCTACCGGAAGGTTCCTTGCGGAATCCAAATACAAGATCAGCAGTGCAGATGAAAGACCATCGTTGGCTTGATCCTTATCGGCTCTGATGTCTGTCAGCACCTGCGAGGTGAGATAAGGGTCAGTGTCTACAGGACAGCGAGCACAGCCCGTGACTGTGCGTAAGAGGATGAAAGTAAGAAGTACGCTAATGTGCGCAGCAGAAAGAACACGTCTTCCACATGACAAAACCGATGTTGTGCACAAGTCAACTAAGATGAAGCACCAGGACGACATGCAGCCCCACCCCATCCCTGTGCTCCAGCAAACACAGAACTTAAGGACTCAGAACAGGAGCAGTGACTTATAAATCATATCTCCTCTACACTTCTTATTCCTGTCCACTAGTGTGAGGACCTGTGGCATAATGGTCAAAATCACTGGTGTAATGTCTTTAAGCAAGCGCAAACAGGACCAGAGACTGGGCCTAACAGTCAGGAGAGGGTGGCCGCGGAGGGGCGGCACGGTACAGCACCTTGTCCAGGTTTGCCGCGTCTGGCATCAGTGTGAGCCACTCTAACTTCAAATGCAGCTTTCCCTTGGGAACCTCGTCCAGAGTGAACCACTGAAGAGAAAATGTTTAAGGTCAGCAAAAGTGTCCCTGAATAAAAAAATTCTAACGAAACACGGTCTAAAAATGTTTCAAGGTGCTCACGGATACTGTGGCACCAACAGTTCTTAACTGGCACTGAAATTTACGCCTCATGTTTCAAGGGCCAGGGTTGGCCAGAGACCATGCTCAAAGACGAGATGACATCAGCACATACAAGTTCAAGTGCTGCAGTGCCGTCCAGCACTAACACAGCTTCTTTCTGTACATGGGTTCACATAGGATTTAGAGGCCAACAGAGTATCACACTAATTGTAAATACTGAATAGCAGCATCAAACAAGTTAAGGTATTTGTTTTTATTCGTTGCTGTACATCAATTAATAAAACAGTACATAGTTGTTTCAGCATAAAAGTCATGAAACGAAGACTCCCAAACAGTGCTGAAAAGGAGCTGCCACGAGGCAGGCTTCTGTGTACCCTGTTCACCGCTGTGCTCAGCGACTGGCACCCGACAGATGCAAGGGGACAGTGTGAGAGGATGGCCAGCAAGCTCTCCTGAGGGAAGAGCCGGACACTGCCGTGGTTAATCAGGCTACCAAGGCGGCTTCCCTTTACTTTTTTATGGCATTTTGGTCACTGTCGCTGCTGTAAGTAGTGTTTTCTTGCTGCACATTATTAGTTCACTTACAGGAGTCTTTTACATTCTGTCAGCACTGTGCATCTCTGCTATTCACTCCAACTGTACTGACATTTCCATTACTGTGAGCTCCCTGCACATCTCTGCCCCGGCGCAGCCAGGGTGTCACCATCCGTCCATCTACAGCAGAGTTGGTTTTACACTGTGTGCTCACCCCCACACTCCCAACCGCCTCCTGACCCAGGTGTCAAATGTTTGTGTAGCAAATTTCGTTGCTGTATCAGTAGCTGCGACTCTCCCACTGGGTAGGTGGGCAACAGCAGTGGATCACCATGATCCTGGCATATAAGAGGTTCTTACAGCGCTCATTAAGTGGGCCAAAATCAGAGAAAACTTACTTCGTCTAAAAGGCGCTCCTTCTCAACTTCAGTAAGATCGATCATAAGACTATGAGAATAAAACAACAAAAAAATTTACAACACAAATGAAGTAACTTCAGCATTGTCTAAGGGAAAGAACTCTATCTAGAAAAGCAAAATATGCTATACAATTTACCAGGAAACAAACTGCTTTCCTCGAGGGTTTCTATAATACAAGCCCAAGAAAATCAAAAGAAGAACAAGAAAGGGAAGGGTTGAATTTCTGAGGTCAAAATATAGAGCACACACAAGGAGGCCAGAATTGATTGTGTGTGTGTGTGTGTGTACATTCACACTCGTGTGAACGTGTGTAGGCCTGGGGCTAACATCAGGCATCTTCCTCACTCCTCAGCTTATGCATCAAGAAAATATCTCTCAGTTGAACTCAGAGCCTGATACAGCTACTCTAAACAGTCTGCTTGTTCTGGGCATGCCCAGTCTGTCTTCCAAGTGCTAGATTTACAGATAGCTGCCATGATCTTCTGGTGCTTTTGTGTGTTCTAGGTCTGAACTCTGACTGTCATGCTTATGTGGCAAGTGCTTTGCAGTAAACTCCATAGCCCCAGCTGAGTTTTTATGTTTTCGAGACAGGGTATCACTGTGTAGAGCAGGCTGGCTCTGAACTCACAGAGATCTGTCTGCCTTTACTTCCCAAGCACTGGGATTAAAGGTGTGCACCACCACCATGCCTGGCTAACTAATGGGTTTTTACATGTTATCCTTTGGTGGTACCAGTCATCACTGTGGATGACACAGCTATTTGCATAATGGATTGTAAGTCTACACTATTTCAAGTCCATTAGCAGGTCTAAGAGAAGGTTCTATTAGCATCGAACAATCCTACTCTAATTCAACCGTGGCACTACTTCCGCAGGAATGTGGAAGAAGGGAGTATTCTGATGGGAGATGTCATTCTGTAAATATGTTTCTCATACTGGCTAATGAATAAAGTACTGTTGGCCAATAGGAAAGGAAGATAGGAGGGACTAGGAGACAAGGAGCAAATAGGAAGTAGTAGGGAGGAGTCAGCATGGAGAGACAGGGGAGACCAGATGCCTGCCCCACTCCCCGGTAAGGTGAAACCGTGTGGAATTATTAGATTAACCAAAATGGGTTAATACTTAAGACAGAACTAGCCGATAAGAAACTAGTAACTGGCCAACAGCATTATATCAAATACAGAGTCTCTGTGTGCTATTTGGGGCTGGCGCAGTGTCGGGTCTAGACCAGCGGCGGGCGGAAAAACCGTATTCCTTACATTATTCTACTTGCACTTCTAAGGTATCTCCCAATCCACCGCTCTCGGTCCTGCCAGTGACAGTGTGCTCCGTAGCTTTCCGGCCATCCACCTACGCACTCACACTGCATACTTGATTTGGTCATGTTCCTGTCCTGCTCAAGCTATGCACACAGTCAGAACTTCTGAAGTCACACAACAACACATGGGTTTCAGAGATTCCGAAGTCAGAGCAGGCACAAAAGGTTATACTTGATGAGGCATAAACTTCTCCGATGTAATCTAACCCTCCACCATCCCCCCACAATAAGCTCACTCAGACCTCAATTAGACAGACGTGTGTTGGATGTGTATATGCATATCCATCCACCATGTGTGAGATTCCAATGCACAGGTGTGGAGGCCACAGGACAACCTCATATATTTTTCCAAAATGGTATTATTTGCTTGAGACCAGGCATCTTAATAACCTGGAATGGAACTCATCAAGTAATTTTAGGCTGACCCTAATAAGCCCCAGAGCTAGGATTATAAGCATGTAGCAAGGCCCTGGGAACTGAAGTTTCAGGCAGCCGTTAGCCATCTGATGTGAGTGCCGGGAACTGAGCTTGGGTCGTCTGAAAGAGCAGCAAGCATGCTTGACCTCTAGGCCACCTCTCAACCTCAGAAACATATTTTTAAAGCCCACTTTTCACAGCTATGTTAATTCTTCAACTGAAGTAAATAATACAGTATTTACTGTCCCAATATGTGGGTGCAATGTTACTTAAACTATAGTTTACTTAAACTATACCCTAGCAAACTGAAAAAAGCTTAAAATTAAATCTACATTTACAGGTCAGAAGGAAATATTTCTAGACCTCCCTGTACAAGGAGGGGCTCTGCACAGTGTCCCCTAGCTTGCACGGCCTAACTGGCTGGTGGAATAGGCCCTAGTGCTATTGTTGCTACAATGGACAACAGAGTCTTTTTTTAGAAATAAAACATTAAAAAAAAAAAAAAAAACATCCGGTAAAATAAATGTCACACATAAAAACCATTTAAAACATATGCATGTAAATAAGTGAATTTTAAAGCTACCATCAGTGAGAATGGTTATAAGGGTGTTCCCAAGCTCTTTCTTTACCTTCCTAAGAAGTCATCCTTATCTGGATCTTCATCAAAGAGTTCAATCTCCAATTCTTGTCCAGGGTGTTCATAGACCAAAGCCTGAAAATTAACAGTTAGGAGTTACTGCGGGTCTACTATCACAGTCAAGAACTAAGTGTGGGGATTACAACAAATATTACCAGGTACTTTCCTCTGGCAGTCAGCAGTTTCAAAGGTGTACTTTCTTACTGTCAGACTACACGTGCGTCTTGATGACTGGGCCATTCTAAAAAAACTTGCCCAGAGAGTGAGTCTGCTGAGCATGTTTCTTGGTTATCTGAATCCTGTTACCAGTGGGTCTAGCACAAGGCCCTGAGACAAGGTGGCAGCGTGAAGTCACCCACAGGCCTGTCTAAGGCCTAAGGCCAAGTGAAGATGCAGGGAATAGCCCTAAGATCTGAGGTGGCTCCATCAAGATGCTAACCCTGAGAAATGGACAGAGGACAGAGGCTGACAGGAAAGGGGCATAATGACTACCATTCTCAAGAACTACTCAGTCCTTTAAAAACCTCCACTTTGGGATGGAGCAATTTAAGGCTACGTAGACACTGCACTTGAAGAGCATGGTCACAGTGCTGTATTCGGTAGGTAGCCCGGGTCTGCAAGTAGAGAGATTCAGTGCAATGGCTGTTAACAACCAGGCAGACCCTGGCTGGGTGTGCTGGTGCTCACTTGCAGTCAGAGCACTTGGGAGGCTGAAGCAGGAGGAGCAGGAGTTGCAGGCCAGGAAGTCAAGTGTACAGAAAAATAGAAAACAAAGCAAAAGGAAACAAATACAACAAAAATGAAGCCAACAACCATGCCTTTATCTATCCACTGAGATATAAAGATAGCCAAATATATTAAATGGAAAAATGCACACAACAGTGTATGTTTATGTTTGTGTTTTAACCAAATGCAATATTTTATAAACAGAAACTTGTCTAAATTGAGAAAAATATATATTGCCATCATTAATCACTGTGGTAGCTTAATATAACTAATGCTTAAAAAAATCTCACATGTTCACATTACAAGAATGTTTGTGTTACAACAGAAATGCAAAATCTCCCAAATATGAAAAATTAAAAAAACTTAAACAATGGTCCAAGTCAGCTACACTTTGTGGACAGATCTGGAATCAGATTTTTAGTGCCCTCACCCAGTTTCCATGCTCGGGACCCTCTCTTACCTCATAAACCTCGTTCCACTTTGGACTGAGGTTCTCCTTGATAATCTTACTCTGGAAGATCTGGTTGCCCACTCGGATGATTCCGTAGGGGTCTGATTTTCCCTTGACAAGGCCTTTAAGGTAGGTGTCTTTCCCCTGAAGATCCTGAGCTTCAATGAAATGGATCCTTAGGACACCCTGAGAAGACCAGAAAATCACTTGGACTGCCTGCTATGGAGAATGGAAGACCCATCACGTGGTCCCCAGCAGGGACTGTGGATGGACAAGGACGCCACACAGCTGCCTGCACAGCCGTCAGCATCCTTGGTAGAGGGCACACTGACTGCAGAGGTCGCAGTACAGCAAAGTGCTTATCCCAGGAAGTCAGTAACACAGGGCCACAGGGGTTACCAAAAATCCTCACCTTCTGGGACTAAGTAGGCAGTTACATCAGACCTGCTGCTACGTACTTCTTATAGAATTTAGACCAATTCTATGAAATACTGTCGTTAAGCCCGTTTTATGGAGGAAACTGAAACTTTGAAATATGTAGTGCTCACCAAAAAGAAAAAGTTCTTCTCAAAAGCTGTCCTATTTGTGGGAGAGAAATACTTATTCCTTTCATTCATGGCAAACAAAAGTTTGCTTGGGCAATGATATCTTTCCTCCAAATGCTAAAAAAGTTCCAGGCTACTATTCCCGGCTTGTCAGGACAAGACAAAGTTCTTTAAGATGAATACACTTTAGAAGGCCCTGGAAGAAAGAAGTCTGCAGTTTCATGTGGCTACAGCTGAGGCGATGTGGCCACCCCTTCCCCCAACGTTGGCTTTAAGCTCAGAGAAGAAAGGCAGCTGGATCCAGTGCTTATTGTACTTAACACACAAAAGATTCCTATACCTCAAGAAAGAATTGCTTTTCTTACATGCAGAGTGTCACATCTGTTGAATGTGCACAATATAATTTTATCATCAAATTAAAGGGAGTGTGCTTTCTTGAAAACATATAAGGAGTGGGCTGAGGACATAGGCCCTGGATTTAAGCCTCAGCATCAAAGACAGGTAAAGGAGGATTGTTATGTATGCAGTGTGTGTGTGTGTCTCTACATGTGTAAGTATGGGCATGCATGTTTGCTGATTTTTGTGTCTAAGTGAGAAAAAGTAAAGGGGATCAAGGCAATGCTATTCCCACCTCCACAAATAAAACTGAAAACGCAGCCATTCAAATGGCACCACCTTGTCTCCTGTTTTAGTGAAGGTAGAACACATATAGAATGTATACATTCTAGCATTGGTGCATAGGTAGAATGTATCAGTACTATTCCTTACTGTAGACAATCCATTACTACTGTTTCCTTGACCTCTGTGGAGCCACAACAAATGGCTGACAGTTATACCTACATCTCTTAAGGATGAAGAGTCAGGCCTCACCTTTGCCTACAATGGTTCTGTCTACTTAAGGTTACTCCATACACACATGACCCGTTCTATGCTCCACATTTTATAGAAGCTGAAACTCGGGCCCAGCCTTAAAAACCTCCAAGTTCAAGAGTTCTGCTTTTTCCTTTTTGTTCAGTGCAGCTGTTACACAAGTGCCTCTTTTGTCACTGTGATAGTTTGAATAAGAATGGTGTCCAAAGGTTCATATATTTAAATGCTTAGAGAGTGGCTGTGGCTCTGGTTGGAAGGATTAAGAGGTGTGACCTTGTTGAGGACACTGGGGTGGGCTTCCTGATGGCGGAGGATCCAGATGCAGAACTCACAGCTCCTTCTCCAGAACCACGCCTGCCTGTGTGTCACCAAGCTCCCTGCCACGCTGATAATGGACTGACCTCTTAACTGTAAGTCAGCCCTAGTAAAACGTTCTACTTTTTAAGAGTTGCCACGGTCATGGTGTCTCTGCACAGAAAACTAACCTCCCTGACTAAGATAGTCACCCTATCCATTAATAAACTCCTCACATTCCAAAGTCTGAGAAAAATTTACACACATCTCTCAGAATCTTTATTATAACATCAGCCTCATGTCACTTTTTGCTGAGAGTATGTCTCTATGAAAACAGATGTAACATATACCTTTTGGGACAGCTTTTCCTGCTGCCCCCTGCTATCCTTATAACTGGTGATTACATCTGTAGGTCTCAGCCCTCAAGGTACCTCAAGGAGGCTGAAGTCTAAGAATGGAAGTCTCTGGGCAGCCTCAGAGTCAGGGGCTCCGTTGGAGCGGGGCTACTAAAGTATTAACACAAGTTGTTGACAGCTAGCTGCTCAGAGAGACAAGGAACACCCTGTGGTTAGGCCGGGTGGTGGTGGCACACACCTTTAATCCTAGCACCTGGGAGGCCAGAGGCAGAGGCAGGAGGATCTCTGTGAGTCTGAGGCCAGAATGGTCTACAGAGCAAGTTCCAGGACAGCCAGGGCTACACAGAGAAACCCCGTCTCACCAAAGCAAAGCAAAGCAAAGCAAAAGGTCCTCGTGTATTTACATACTAGTGGGATACAGATGCACACTCACCTTTGGTATGGGAAACCTCAGCTGTGCTATTTGAACTTCACTGACAAGAGGAACAGTGATTCGATTAGGAAGCACCAGATAGTTTGATATTATATCCAAGATGATAGTATCAGATAAACCACTGTTAGGTGAGAGATAAAGGACAATCAGATACATACATATGTACACACATACATACGCGCTTGCTGTCTCCTTTAACAACACACATGCACAGTCTCGATCCTATAGCCATATATGGAGTGGGAGTTCCCTACCTTTTCCAGAAGACAGATAATGTTTCAAAGCTTGAGCTACACTGCTGTTGTAACTATGCGCAGAATCTATTTTTGTAATACAACATAAAATTCTGGCTCCATTTCATAATTTATGAACAACTTTCAAATATTCCTATATGGCTTAATCACATAAGATACATTTCTTTACGTTTCTTTTTTAACGTAAACATTTCAAACATAAATAAAAGTATAGAGAATAACACAGGAACATTCACAAACCCATTTCATGTTTATGTATATATCGTTTCTCTTTAGTGTTGTACACTGCTTCAAATGAAGTAAAATAACTTAGTTGTTTTTCTTCATTCTGAATCTGCAATAATTTTGATCTACTATTATACCACTGCATAGCAAACTCAGTAACATGAATAAAAGACTTGAGGAATTTTATATCTTTTTTAGACTGTTTTCAAAGTAGATGTGAGAATACACACACACACACACACACACACACCAATACTTCTGAAGACATATCTATGCAAGCTTCCTATTCTAAAAACTGTTACTAGAACCACAAGTTTTACAAAGAACCATGATTTCTGCCAGTACTTTCTGGTGTTAAGTCACTAGCACATACTTGCAATTACACATGCAAACATGTCCTCTGTCATCACAGTCACTCAAGCAAAACAAGGTATGGACCACTCTTTACTAGTCTTTCATTTTACTAAGAGGAAAGGACTCAATTACACTTTGCTATTAATAGTTCTGAAGAGATGGACAACACGAGCTGGCAGATACTGTGCACCTGCTTTTCTGTAAGGCGGTAGAGGATCTTACACAGCTTTAGCACCAACTCCTTATCATCAGCATTTCCTCTCAAAGTAATTCATTTATAATGAAATAACTGCTGGAACAGAGACCCTTCCTAACTGAGGTATCTGAAGAATCTCACTCCTCACTGCTGGGATAGCATAGTGCTTGCCTTCAGCTGGCAGCCCTGTGCCTAGAAGACAGTGGTCCCAGCAACCACTGTGGACAATGCCCCAGGCAGGCTCAGCAGTGCCCTGTGCTGTCAGGTGTGGACACCGCTCCCAGATGCCTACCTAGCATCCATGGACCATCCACACCTTCTCCTGCAGGCGCTGGTTCCCAAGCCTGTCTTTCAACACTGCTCCTGCTTGTGCCACTGACTTGACCCTGACCCTTGCCCTCCTCCACCTTCTCTATGTAGCATAAGCTCTCACTGAAACCTCAGGGGGACGTTACAGCATAACAACGAAAATGTTTTGACAGTGGACTGACCCAGACACTATTCCTCCTTTGTAACGACTCCGGATCCTTTTTGTAGCCCATGAACACAACATATATCCTCATCTTACAAAGCCTGGATAAGATCTCATTATATCAGACTCAGTTACTATCTTTTTTTTTTTTTTGAATATTTTTAACATAAGGGCTTACTGTATACTTGATGTATGCAACAGAAAATCTTTTAAAGAAGGGTTCTCACACAGTGTCACCAGCCTCAAACTTGCTGTGTAGCCAAGGGTGGCACTGGACTTCTGATCCCTCTCCTCTCCTTCCCACACACTGGGATTCCTGACAGGGTGAACTACTCTATCAGAGCTTAACAGAAAATCTCTCTGTGAAGAATAGCAGCCCCCCATTTTATATTTTATCATATAAAATTTCATCATATCTGTATTGTATACAAATGTATATAATTACCACAAATTATATACAATATATCCAAATAACTCATCTTATGTTAGAGGGATATTCCTATGTATTGCTACTATCCCACAGATAGCTTACTTTTAACAATGTATGCATACTTATCTTTGTATGTGTCATATATTCAAGCATGTATTTGTGTGTGTGCACGTACAGGTATGTGTGCGTATTTGTGCGTGGTGAACAGAGATCAACATCTGGTGTGGTTCTTCCAATGCCCCATCTCGTTTTCTAAGGTAAAGCCAATCATTGTGACCTAGGGTTTGGAGTTTTAAGCTAAGGCAGCTGGCTAGTGAGCCCCAGTGATTTGCCTGCATCATATCCCTGTGCTAGAGTTATAGGTACATGCAACGACACCTGCTTTTTTATATAGGTACCAGGGATCAAACTAAGGTTCTCGTGCACAGCAAGCACTCTATCAACTCAACTGTTCTCCCAAGCCCTTTAAATATGTATTTTAATGATATAATTCTCTATATAATATGCTACAACATAGTTTATACTTCCATATAAGATTTGTACATTAATGGAAGATACTGCTGTAAAGAATCTGCTTATGTTATAACTGAGTAACATGAAATTGATCATGTGTGCAAATGAAATGCACACATTCACATGAGTGTGTTTACTGTGACTGTGCAGAGACCCTTGGTGAATAAAATGGTTTCAGACTGGTTGAAGTCTTGTGAGGGATAGGACGAGTCCTTCCAAGCCACCTGCCACTTACAGAGCTCATGCTATGTCATTACAGAGCAGAGAGCTAATCAGTTAGCATTCTTATTTCAGTCCTCCTACGACGCTGACGAAAGACGTTAACCTTCCCCGATACTTGTTACTTGTATTTGGCTAACAAAATCCAGCAAGCACTGCTATATCCTGTATGTGGGATACATCTACATCATTACAGGGCTGTGTGTGTGTCCAAGCAATTAAACATTTCTTGGTTTCTTCATAGGGCATATATAAAACTCAAACCTGGCTGTTAAGATAGAGAGACACATAAGTTAACTCTGGAGCTTCTTTTAGAACTAGCAGGGAAGAGTGTCTCACAGCTGCTGTACACAGCAAGATTCTCCCTTCAGACACACTCAAAGACTCACTTGCAGACTGCATTTACAGCCCATACCGTTTGGCACCAACCCCTGCCTGAGCCTGACATCCCACAATGCTCTGTGAACTGCAAAGGCAGGTGGCCCCAGGGTAAGCTCTCCCGGATGGCTGTGAGAATGCTATTCCCATCTGTGTCCAAGTGCTAAGAACAGTGGTCGGCTGCGAGCAGGCGTGTAGTAGTCACGTCTCGGCTGAGTGACACACTCAATTTTAAAGGTGTTATTTTCACACTGAATTATTATTATTTTAAGCTGGGTGTGTAGCTCAGAGGTATAATACAGTTTAGCAAATACAAAATCCTGCGTTTAATCCCTAGCACTGCAAATAAAAAAAATTACCTGTGTCAATTTGATTCAGTATTTTGTTTGTAATCAAGATTCTAATGAACCTGTCAATAAACCTTTTAAAGTTGCACTTTCTTATCCACAGTCTTTTAAAGACAGTAGTCCTTTTCTTAATCTGGTAAGCCACAGTACATTTTATCTGTGACGATGTCTTGGATTACTAAAGTTGCTGTTTTCTACTGATAATGAAACAAAACTTTGTTTTAGCAGTCATTTCAGTGGCATAAACACGTAGATAGAAATAGGAAAAATAGCCTGAAACCAAAGTTTGGAATTGAATTTGTAAGCTATTTAAGGTTAAAATTCCATAGATTAGCAAAATGTCTGCTAGAAACAAATGTAACTAATAACAAGTAAGTTGTGCGGTTTTTAACCTTCAAAAAAAAAAAAATAATGAGAACAGTGAAGAGGACAGACTGCACTCTGTCCCCATCTACCACTGCAGACATGTGGACAGTGTGACTCATCTAGTCCTCCCACGGGGAATGCACACTCGATGACTCAGGTGCCTGTTGCAGGACACTTTCCATGTTTATTATTCACTAAATTGCTACTGAATGGAGAAGAGCCTCGCTGCTTTGGTTAGAAACTTCACATCCGGGTTCCATTCTGACCCACTCTCTCAAGAATAAAACCGAGGGAAGACAGCAGGACGGCCCCTGCAGCCAGACCCACAAGACTTACTTCAGTCCAGGGATGTCCAGGAGATTAGTCAGTCCGGTCCAGTTAATCTCTAAAAGCTGTGTTTTTAAAAAGGGAGGGAGAATATTAGACATCAAAAATGTTCCCAGGTATCACAGTAACTCATTCACAGGTGTGTGTAAATGAAGTATGATACAACACTGCCACACACCTTTCCCCAATGTGTGACACATCAGGGATGCTTTCTTTCATTGCCCATGAAGACCTGCCTCAGTTTTTACTTCCTGATCATGCCACAGTTTTCTCTACTGAAAACACATAATTTGCTTGCCTTTCCTCCTACAGATGAGTTCCTGCTTTGTTTTGTCAGTTTGTTTTTTGTTACGTGTTTGAGACAGAAGTCACCTTGGGTGACCTATAATTCATTATGAAACCAGGCTGATCTTAGGCTCACAGAGATCAGCCTGTCTCTGCCTCCCAAGGGCTGGGATTAAAGATGTGAGCCACCACCGACCGGCATGAGTACACATGCTCATAGCTACACATGCAGACTAGCATTCAAATATGGGGCTCAGTCAGCAAGATTAACTCAGAGGGTAAAAGTGCTTGCCACAGAAACCCGAGGACCTGAATTCAATCCCCAAGGTCCACAGTACAAGAAAACACCACATGAATACCATACATAAAATTTTAAAGTGGAACAAGATGCTAAATATTATGTTCACTTTCAATATCAATACCTGGGGTCTCCAAAATTACTACTTAAATTTCTGTTACTAAATTTTTTTTAGTAATTTTTTTCTATTACCATCGAAAGTATGGGATAGAATCATTTCTTCTCCACACTGCAGATATTAAAACTCAGAGCAGTTGGTAATTGAACAACTGCATTTTACTTTGAATTTTTTATTTATATTTTCCTATGAATGGAACACATTCTGTCTGTTTATTGGATAGTTATAGTCATCCCAGAAATTCTTACATATTTAGCGAGGATTGCATTAGGTAGATACAAACAGTTAAAACTATGGGTACTGCGCACAATAAAACACTTTGTGCTTTATACTTGTGGAGGGTGTGTTCAGTGAAACTGCAGTGCTCAAGTGCCTTCTGACTACACAAATAGTTAGCAGGCAATTGCAGAGCAAAAATGAGGGGAGAAGCAGCCGCTTTCAAAGACTTTTCCAGCCTGAGAAAAGAGATGGGGCACAGAAAGGGCCTGAGCCTGTCCTGGAGATTGCCTTGCGTGTCCAGGGCCACTCCTTTGAAGAAAGCTCACTTTCCCTCTCCCAGCAGGTATCAGTTGCAGACAGCTTCTTGATTAGGGGAGGGACTCTGTGCCACTTCTCTGTGCCAGGACTTTGTCTGACTTGAATTTATAGGATCTCTCCATGCTGTCACAGTCTGTGCATGAGCCCTGCTGTGTCTGGAAGGTGTCGTTTCCTTAGAATCACCCACCAGCCCTGTCTCCTACAGATTTTCTGCCTACTCTTCAGCATAGGTGCCTGATCCTCGAGGGGAGGGGTTTGACAAAGACATCCCATTTGGGGCTAAGCACTTCACTGTCTCCACAGTGTCTAGTTATGGGTCCTATGCTGATTGTTATCTACTGAAAGAAGCTTCTCTGATGAAGGGTGAGGCACGGACCTGTGGGTATAGCAGTGTGTCATTAGGAGTCATTTCATTACTTATATTCATTTAGCAGAATAATAGGTTTGCCCCTAGTTCCCATGACCCATCCAGTTTCCAGTTCTTGGGGACATTAACAGTATCAGCTGTGATTTATATCTCAGGGAGTAGACCTTAAATCCAACCGAAAAGAGTTGGTTACCTCCACAAATGTGTGCACTACTGGACTAGTACATCTCGCAGGCAGGCTGTAGGTGACAGGGTTTGTAGCTGGGTGACACTGATGATCGCTGATGACTACTTTTCTCCTCTGGCAGCAATTATAGCACCTTCCAGTGGTGGTAAAGTCTCTATTCAGGTGCCAACTCAATTTCTGCTTTTCGCTTTGTTTTTCCAGACAGGGCTTCTCTGTGTAACAACCCTGGCCATCCCAGAACTCGCTTTGCAGACCAGGCTGGACTTGAACTCACTGAGATCCACCTGCCTCTGCCTCCCAAGTGCTAGGATTAAAGGCGTGTGCCACCACCACACCCTGTTCTTTCTTTTTCAGTGATGTGATTCTTAAGCAATAAGGTCTTGCCTTCAGGTTGTGGAGGTTAACCAGTGGCATATAATGACCTTTAAAATCTTGTTCCTTGTATCTATCCAGGTGTTCTCTCTCCTCTCTCTCTCTCTCTCTCTTTTTTCTCTCTCTCTCTCTCTCTCTCTCCCTCTCTCTCTCCCTCTCCCATGCATTGGTGTGAGGGTGTCAGGTCCTCTGGAACTGGAATTACAGTTGTGGGTGCTGGGAATTGAACCTGAGTCCTCTGGAACAGGAGTCAGTGCTCTTAACTCCTCAGCCATCTCTCCAGCCCTGCTTTTGTGTTTTTGAGACAGGATTTCCCTGGGTTAGAAGGAAACCTTCATGACCAGGACTACAGAGCTGGGAAAGACATGAATTCCAAGGCATGTGGTTCTGCATCAGTATCTGAAGTCGCTCAGGGCACTGATAAGCACCATGACTGACAAGCTCATTTTCCTGGCTCTTTCCTCCAGTATTATTTGGTCAAAGAATCCCTTAGCACTTTAATGGAGAAGGCTCTCCCTGCCCCAGCAAAATATTGGGATCTTATTAGAAAACCTAGAATGCTGGGCATGGTGGCACACACCTCAGCAAGACTGGCAGATTGTAAGGCATGCCAATGGTTTCTTCAAGAAATCTATTACAAAGCACACAAATGTGCTATATGAAAACCATGGCCAGTGCGATGTGCTTTGAATCTCAGTCACTTGTGAGGCTGAATCAGGAGAACCGCTTGAGTACAAAAGTTCAGAGCCAGTATAGGCAACAAAGCTGTCTCTCTCTTACTGAATTTGTAAATAATAAAATATCACTGTAAGTATGTAATGGATGTCTTGTTTTACTTATGACAGTAAGATGCTAGTTAGGAGCGAAGCTTAGTGGTAGAGCATGTATGAGGACCTGGACTAGATCCCCAGCACCTGGGAAGCTGGCTAAAGATGGCTTCAACTTAAAGCAAGCCTAGGCTACACTGAGTTTCATGCCAGTCTGAACTACACAGAGACTCTGTCTTCCCCTTTCTCCACCTCCAAAAAAGCATGCTTGTTTGAACAGACATATGTGATGGTTCCCAGCTTATCCTCAGCCAGCTTTGACCTACTCCTGTAAGGGCCTAACACTGCACTGAAACATCAACATGTTGTTAGTACTTAAGTGACACAAAGACATTGGCACATAAAATCTCCAAAAAATAGCATTTAAATTCTTGGCTTATGGGCATCTAGAGGGAAACAAAAAAACCCTCTGAAGACTAATGATAGTTTTAAAGAAGTCTTTCTACCACAAAGCAGTAAATTAAATGGCAACAAACAGCAGAAAAGAGTTTCCATGTTCACAAAGCATGAAAGCTCTGGGCACAACCATAAAGCTTTTTGCTGTAGTCTCCAAATAGGAAGCTAAAGAAATAGACATCTAAAAATTATGTCGAAAACTAGTCGCAATTGTATGCATTCAAATTTATAGATTGTTGCAGAATTGGGAAAAACTGCCTTTGAGTTTTACCAATAATGGGCCCTAGATGGAGTGATTTCATCTGTCATCTTTGAACTTCCCAGCTAGATTACAGAAGGACAGAATGAAATAATCTTCCCCCTTGCCCCACACAGGAAGAAGTGCTGGTCTCTAAGAATGGTCTCTTTTCTGAGCTGCTCCTGCTCGCCTGCCTTTGCTATGCTCCTCTCTCTCTGTCTCTCTCTCCCTCCCTCCCTTCCTCCCTCCCTCTCTCCCTCCCCCCCCTCTCTCTGAGATGTTACCAACCTGAACTTCCTTCTAAGCTTCTGTACCCTGGTCTTGGACAACATTTGGTATTATTAAAGGTGACATGCAGAGCATGTCCACCCAAGCCGAGGGTCACTGAAATGACTGGGAAACATCTAAGCAGTCCTAAAGTGCTGGGAACAACTGTTAGGCACAAGGCAATACTGGGGTACTCCGCTAAGGAAGATGCAGGGCATGAGTGTTCAAAACGCCTGGGGTGAGGCAGGAGGGAGGTTAAGAACTTAAGTGTGTGTGTGTGTCAGAAGAGTCTATGCATAAAAAGAAACTCAGTAACAGAGTGGAATGTGAGGGTTAGTGAGTGTGAGAGAGAATGAGTCTGAGAGAAAAAAGAATGTTAAAAAAAAAAGGGCAAGTGGAGAGAGATCACGGGTGAAAGAACAGCGTGATGTGTGAGAGTTAGCACTGACTATTAACTTGACAGATCTGGGATTACCTAGGAGAGAAACATCTAAGAACGCCTAGGAAGGATTATTATTATTATTATTATTATTATTATTATTATTATTATTATTATTATTATTAACTGAGGCGGGGAGACCCATCTAGAGACAAGCACCCATCTCTTGCAATGTGACCGGCCTCCTCTTCCTCCTCTTCATCATGGCCCAAACCTTCGGGCTGTGAGCTGAGTTAAACTCTTCCTCCCCAGGCTTCTTTTCCAGGTTATTTTATCATAGACAATGGAGAAGAAAAGGGCATCTGAGAAAATGGCAGAGGTCGATCATGCGCGTAAGATAGAGACCGAGTGTGGGAGAACTGCATAAGGGTGAGCGTGGCAGGGTCTGTGTGAGCGGAAACTAAGGTCAGAAAGTGAGTAGGTGTCTTAGTGACCTTTCTATTGCTGTCAAGAGAGACCATGGCCGCCAGGGGTCTGCGGCCAGCCTGGTCTACAGAGCCAGTCCCAGGACAGGCTTCAAAGCTACAGAGAAACCTGTCTCGAAATACAAAAACAACAAAGAAAAAAAAAAAAAGAAAGAAAGAAAAAAAGGAGAGAGAGAGAGAGAGAGAGAGAGAGAGAGAGAGAGAGAGAGAGAGAGAGAGAGGCCAATGCAAATATAAAAAGAAACATTTAGTTATAGAGGCTTAGGGTCCAGGACCACCATGGACAGACAGGCATGGAGCTCAAGTAGCAGCTCTGGAGCTCTGAGCTTACATCCTGAAGCACAGAGGAAGCTGAACAGGAAGGAATGGTGTGAGCTTCTGAGACCCCAAAGCCCACCCTCAAATGGCACCCCTCCTCCAACAAAGTCACAGCTCCGAACCCGCCCAAACAGTCCTGCCAGCCTGGGGGCCGTTCAGACATGAGCCTATGAGGGTCCCTTCCATTCAAATCAGGTGTTTGTGAGGGTGAGTGAGACAAACAAGTGGGAAATAAACAAGTGAGTTTGAGAGAGAGACTGCACATGTGAGAAAGCATGAGCGCATGAGGACACAAGGAAAAACCCGCCAGCAGGACCGCAATCATGGCAGCCCCCTGAAGAGCATTCTTGGAAATGCAACTAAAGCTATGTGGGCCCCTGATCTCCCTGAGGGCTGGTGGACAATGAGAACCAGGGCATAGACGGCTAAGGCCTCTATCTCAGGAGGCTGAGGCGCCAGTGGAATGTGTGTGTCCAAACACAGGAAGTCACCTCTGAGCCGGTGCAGGAGCACAACAGGGAATGTGGTCATGATAAAGAAAGAATGTCATGTTTTACCTGGAACAACAAAACATGTGCACAGCCAGATGAAAACCACAGAGATGGCCGTCAAGAAGGCTCAGGGGTAAAGGCACTTGCTGCCAAGCACGGCGCCCATCAAAGACAGTACAGGAAGGAGAAGCAGCCAGCGGAGCTCTACCTGGAGACTCAGGATGATACAAGACTATGGAGGGTGTGCAAGACTACACAAATAATTGAAGACATCAAACCCTCGGCTCCACAGGATCAGAGGAAACTTGGCATAATAAATATTCTTGGCTAATCATGGGTGTGGTATGAACCTACAGGCCTGTCTTCAGCCTCGTCTGTAAGAATGGACCTCTGCACTGCAACTCTCTTAACCCAGACCTGGTCTAGCCGGACAGACGGTAACCGGGACATAGCACTCATAGACATACGGCCTGGAAAACCAGAGCTGTTCTCACTCAAGCAGTCACACTACACTGCCTTCCTACTGGCTCTAAAAGTCACTTAAGCACTACATTACACTGTCTTCCTCTGGTTTCAAAACCATACAAACTCATGGTTCTAATTTGCTTCTAAGTTTCAACTGCAGAACAAACATAATTTCTATTTTTAAAAACTCTCCTTTTTTATTTTTATAACTTTTCATTGATTCTTTGTGAATTTCATACCATGCATCCCAATCCCACTCATCTCCCTATCTGCCCTCCATCCTGTAACCCGGCCCCCAAAAGAAAATAAAAATGATAAAAAAATTAAAATGGAAATTTAAAAAAAAAAAAAACAACTCACTGTGGAAACTACAGTGTATGTCATTGTGTGCCACCCAGTCTACCCTTTTGCCCAAATACTTTTACTTGCAAATGTTCATTGTAATGAATCACTGGTCTGGTTCAAGGTCTCTGGCTTCAGAGAACTACATTATCAACCCTGAATCCTCCCTGGGACTCCTCTCAGACACCTTCTGTTGTTGCCCTGTGTCATGGAGACCCTGAAGCTTGGTTCAGTAGGACTGGCCCCTTCACGTGCTCCAGCAGTTCTTAGGTGGACCGACTCAAAGCCCTGCATCTGGGCCTGTGTGATGGCTGAGTTGATCAGCCTGCCCACTCTCCTACACACACCTCACCATGGCCAGCTCTCCAGCACTGCCTTGGTAAGGGACCAGGTCACCTGAGTGCCAAAGCTGGCAAGGGGTAGAGCCGGTTCTCCGACACCCATACCACTAGGGCTGGCTCTGCCACCAGAGCCAGCTCTTCTGTGTTGCCCAGGCAAGGTGCAGGGCCCACTCCCCAGCCTTAGCTGGTAAGGGGTGGAGCCAGCTCTCCTGAACTCAAGTCCTCAGGGCAGACAGCCCAGCACCCACTGCACAGGAGCCTGCTCTACTATGCTGCCCAGCCCACTAATACTCCAGCTCTTCCCATTGTAATTCTAACAGGAAGATACTTCCTTCCATTCAGCAGCACACACTGCACTGGCCCATCCCCAAGGCAATCAATCCCACCACTGTTCCATGTGGGCTGCTCCCTGGGCTTCAAACTTCAAGTCAAGGGTTTTTAGGTGTCCCTCCACAGTATCAGAACAAATTAATCAAGTCAACAAGCAGAAAAGCATGTAAGTGTTTTATATGACTCGCTGGCACTAGTCTCTGAATCATCCCGGCAGTAAAAACAAAAAATAGTAAAACAAAAAAGCCCTTCTGGTTATATTTTTCACCGGGCTCAGGAAGAATTATTTGGCAGCTAACGGTAGTAAGTTCTCATAGTTTCCAGTTGAAAGTAACTGAAAAAATTCCCTTCCCTCTATAAAGCATGTTCAGTGGTTTTAGTCTCCATATAAGGGAAAGGGCGATTCTGAACATTTCAAGTTCATCCTTCTCTTCTAGCATTCCAACGCCCTTTGGGAGTTAATGCTGTAACTATTTAACAAGTGACTTCGGCTGTGGAAGAACCAGACCCCGGAAGGGCACTGAGGAGAACTACAGATCTTAGAATTGTTACTCTGAGGGGGAGAGAGAGGGCCTTTACACTACGAATATTTCCAAAGACAGAGAAATGTAAATGTTTAGCAGTTTATTAAAGGAGGAACTTTTTTAAAATAATAGTCATTAATTCATTAAAGAAGCTTTAGTATAGTCACTGATGGACTATATTACATAAACTCGCTTAAAAACTGGTAGGAGAAAAGATGCGTTTTCACGCAGAAAAAGCAGTACCCTCGCTACACTTGATTTGGTCTAGCTAACCCCACATTTTCAAAACCAAAGCCAAATTATGCACACTGGCCCTTCCACTTAAATACACGTGATGTTAGTAGACTTGCCAAGGATCACAAGCAGTGTCCCTCTTAGGAGGCAGCTCGCTCACGGAGCCCCCTGAACTCTGGGGACGTGTGTGCCCTCCTACACTTTAGCACTGACTGCTCCTGCCACACAACTTTCCTTTCCATACAACAATGGCAACTTGTCTTGGAAGACACACAGACATCTTCTAGAAATAAATAAAACGGCTCAAGATAGAATTCTGGAGAAAAGGAAAAGCAGAAAGGGTAGAAGGCACAGTTGGTATTTTCCCTCAATAGACATCCCTTCTCTGGGGCTGGGGCTTGGGAGGCGCAGTTAGGCAGCAGTGAGAAACGTGGTTAGGACAGGGGAACTTGGCTGAGTGCAGGCCAGCTGCTTGCCTGCCTAACATGCACAAAGCCCTGGGTCCGAGTCTCGGCATTTAAAGGGAAGAAAACTGCAGTGAAGACAGCTGACCGCAGGCTGCAGGCTGAGGTAAGGAGGAAGAAGCCTGTCTGGTAAGGGTGAGAGACGGCGTTCACTGCTGGTTTTAGAGTGTGCACTACAGTAACAGAAGAAACATGCGAGAGGAGTCAGAGGGAGGAATCTGTATCAGACTAACCTGGGCCTATGTGAGAGTCCCAGTCCTTATTCTTTGGGTGATTCAGACAGACAGACAGACCTTTAAGCTCAGTCCCAGGACAGTAAAAGGAAACAGTACCTCGCTTTACAAGTATAAGGATTAAATCAGCAAATGCTATAAACTCATACACAGCAACAGGTCAAAGGTAGCTTCAACTTAGTTAAAATTTTATTTCCTCAATTCTACAAACAACTATTTCCACATTCAGGGAGGCCATGAGAGCAAGCCCCTACTTAGGGCACAAAGGAGTGAGACACTGAAGACCTGTGCATCACAGGGGAACAGCTGAGGACAGAATCTTGTTCCTGCACTTTATCCTCGGGGACGATGAGCATGGCATCATGAAATGGACATGTACTTACTGGTTTCCTAAGGAAGAAGATGGACAATGCTCCAACCAGAGGCATGTCTCCAATCAGGGGCTCCAGGATCACTCTCATTGTCCCATGAATCTGAACTCACACAGGAAATCACACGTGAGAAAGCACAGCTCTTCAAGGCACTCGGTGACTTTTAAGCACGTGGCTTCACATGCCACTCGACTATTCCCACAAATACAAACGTACTTCTAAAATCTTCACAGCTAATAAAAACTCCAAAGCCTTGCTTTCTGAATATAGCCTAAAAATCCCTAAAATGAAAATATGAACAACTTACCTGGATACTTTTCACCCCGGCTCTACAAAAATATCGTTTGATCTCTAAATCGATTTCACAATTTCCTACAAAGCTAGAAGAGAAAAACTCTGCATTACATACAGTGGTTGGAATTAATTATCCTCTTTGTCATCTCCAGGGTTAGGCTTTGCAAAGTACATAACCAAGCAAAATGATGGTAAAGTACCCATACTCATACTGTAGCCCAAACCGATTGAAAATGCAGCCTATACTACAAGACTACTCCGCTACGCCAGGTTGCACTGATACACTGCTGCCACGTTTAACACTGCTATATCACCTGCGAGGAATACTGTGCATATTCTCTTGTTTTTGCTACACGTAAAGATCTTAACTGAATTTAGATACCTAACACATGGGAGGCTGAAGCTGGAGGACCATCAGTTTAAGGCCAGTCTGCACTACACAGTGTAAGACCCTTGGATGAGGATATGGCTCAGTTGGTAGACTGACTGCCTTGCATGAAGAAGCTCTGGGTATAATACCCAGCCTTGTATAAATCAGGTATGAAAGCTTTGTTAGATTCTTAGCACTCAAAGCTGTAAGCAGGAGAGTGACATCATCCTTAGCTACACAGAGTGCTCAAATTCTATCTCAAAAAACAAAAAATTTAAAAGCATGTAAACATCCACTTTCAAAGTAAAATATAAATAATAATGTGTAATTTTTAGAGTACTCCCCCCATAATTTCCTATTGATTCTTTGTGAATTTCACACCATGCACCCCATGTCCATTCATTTCCCAGTCCTTCCATAGCCATCCTCCACCCTTGTAACCTCCCAAAAGAAGATAGAAGCTGTGATATGTCAAGCGGTGTCACATGGTAGGTACATCTTTCTGTTCAAACACCTGTACCTGGAAATGTTCACTGCAATGAGTAAACGGTCCACTTCAAAGCCTCTGGTTTCTGCTACACTATCAATACCCGGTCCTCCTGGGACTCCTCTCTGGTGTCCTGCTGTTGCCCTGAATGGGGATCCTGCAGCTTTGGATCCACAGGACCAGTGCCTCCAGGAGCTCTAGCAGCTCACAGATGGTAGGTGTTAGGGTGGGCCAGCTCAGAGTTGTGGATCTGGGCCTGGGGGGGGGCAGCAGACTTGATCAGCTGGCCAGCCCTCCCTCCCTGCCCAGGTGAGGGGCAGGGCTGGTGGAACACTCCTTTGATAAAGGTGTTTTTATTTGTGTAACAAAAACTTTGCTTAAAACCCAACAAAAGATCTTATTTTGCCAGCAGTAGATCTCATGACCTTTCTCCTTAGTCACAAAAATCCTCCCTTATATGCTAAAGGGCTTCATGATATTAAGGGTTAGAAACAGCTTGCTCTGAAGTTTCAAACCTAAGAAGTATGAAACAAATGGCTCTTTACTATGACAGCGCAAGGCAGGTGGTTATTTACAACATGAACATGAAATGCTGAGTACATTCCCTTATGGGATATGTGGAATTTGACCTGTCTTAGCTGAGGTTACTACTGCAGTGATAAAAAAAAAAAAACCATGGCCAAAGGCAAACTGGGGAGGAGAGGATTTAATTCGCTCACAGTTCCAAACAACAGTTCATCAAAGGCAGTGAGGAGGAACCTGGAGGCAGAAGCTGATGCAGAGACCATGGAAGAGGAGCTGCTTACTGTCTCCTTACCATGTTTTCTTAGAGAACCCAGGACCATCAGCTGAGGAATGGTCCCACCCATCGTGGGCTGGGCCCTCCCAGACGGATCACTAACAAAATGACCTAAAGGCCTGATCAATTATGGTTCTCTCCTTACAAATTACTCTATGTCAAGCTGACATAACCCTATTCTTTGTTGTTAGAAGTGCAAAATCCCAGCACCCGCAAGGCAGGGGCAGCCAGAGCACTGTGAGTTCTTGGCCATTGCAGTCTACAGAGTGGGGTCTGGGACAGCAGGGGCTACATGGAAAAACCCCGTCTCAAACAAAACAAAACAACAACAAAAAAGAAATACGGTAACATAAACCTTTCTGTGCAAGTCTGGGGAAACTGACAAGTCAAATTAGGAAGGGTCTAAGCCAGTGGTTCTCAACCTTCCTACGCTGTGACAACACAGTTGCTCATGTTGTTACTTTTTGCTGATACTTCATAACTGTGATTTTGCTATGGAGTGTCTCAGACAGTAAGACCATTGGAAACATGTTTTCAATAGTTGCCAAACCACAGGTTGAGACCACTGGTTTAAGCACATGAACAAAATTCTTCCAGGATATACTGTCTACAGATTCCTCACACTGAGGATTATTCTCTACCTTGTTGCTAATATAACCTGCTATAAAACTAGCATTAAAAAATTTCCTTTTTAAACCAATATAAAACCCAACACATGTCCTCTTTATTGCCCAACTTGTTTCATTTCCCTGTCTTTGTCATACAGAATCGTAGTGGACAAAAGCTGCTAAAGCTGCATTTTCAAACTGATATGCATCGAAGGAATTACTCAAATAGTTTGTTTAATGCCAGAACAATTTTTGGGCAATGTTTTTGCTCTTTTGGCTTTTGGGGGGGGGGTGGCTACCACTCAGCTCCCAAATAACTCACACATGGAGGTTCATTCTTCCTTATAAATGGCCAGCCTTAGCTTCGCTTGTTTCGTGACAGCTTTTCTTAACCTAAATGGTCCTTTTGTCTCTGGGCTTTTATGTTTCTTACCCCTGCGTGTCTTCCTTTCGCTATTACCCCAAGGCTGGCTGGGTGGCTGCCCCTGACATCGTCCTCCTCTTGTTCTCTTGCTGCCCCCCTTACTCGTTTCTCCTTCTCTTTATATCTGCCTGACAGCCCTGCCTATCCTTGCTCCCACCCTGCTATTGGCCATTCAGCTCTTTAGTAGATCATCAGGCATCTACTGATCGTCACAGCTTCACCAGAATTAAACAAAAGCAGCATAAACAAAAGCCACTCACCTTAAAATAATATTCTACCACAAACAATGATAGAGTACAAGGTTTCTATCTCCATGGAGCTTGTCATCTGCCCCATGGACAGACCTTGTGGGATACACCCTAACCTAAGACACAGGTGGACCACCATGGAGCTCATACCCAGGCCTGTTGGCAAGCCTAATGGAGCCTGGCCCACATAAGACCCATAATCTTGCCTCCTATTTATTCCATGGATGACAATGTTGTTTGCACAAGCATCACATATATTAAAGATGGAAGTTTACTCGTATCAGAGACATTCAACATTTCTTTCTAAAATAAAGGTAATTGATACAAAGTCCATGTAATTATTATATCACTATACTCTGGAAACTCACAAATGATTAAAAAAAAATTACCCTTAGTCTAGGCTCAAAAGAGCAGACTCAACTGCTAACAGTCCTCTGCCTTGTTTATTTTGAGAGTCTTTCACTGACACCTAGGGCTCACAGACTAAGGCTAGGCTGCCAGGCCACAGAATAAGAGATCCTCTTGTCTCTGCTTCCTCGATCCTGGGATTTCAAATGAACCATCATGCTTGTTTCCTTAGTGGGTTCTAGGGACTGAACAAAGCAACCATTTTATCAACTGTGCTGTCTAAAGATCCCATCACAAGGGGAATTGTCCTTGTTTTCTTTCAGTATTTTCTTCATTGTTAATGTACAGAAATGCAATTGATTTGACTGCATTTGGCTACTTGGCTGAATTCATTTTAGTTTTAAGTATTTGTTTTTGTTTTTTCAGACAGGGTCTTTGTATAGTTGGCCCCCATAATCTCACAGGAAGCGGCACCATTAGGAGGAATGGAGTCACTACAGGGGTGGGCTGTGAGGTTCCTATGATCAGGATGTCACCCAATGTTGACTTGCTGCTGCATGCCAGATGTAGGACTCTTAGCTGGTACTACAACACCATGTCTGCCTGCATGTCACCACGCTCTCTGCCATAATAATAATAATGGACTAAACCTCTGCTACATGTGAGCCAACCCAAGTAAATGTTTTCTTTGTAAGAGCTGCCTGCAGTGGCCATGGTGTCACTTTACAGTGACAGAAACCCTAACTAATACGGTCTCACTATGTAGCCCTTGGCTGACTTAGAACTTGAATGTGGGCCAGTCTGCTTCCAGAGTGCTGGAATTAAATGTGTATGCCATCACAATTGGCTTTAAAACTTTTTGTGGAATTTTTTTCTGTAAGACCTCATCATTTGTAAACATTGTTTTTCACTTTGGATTCCTGTTACTTCATTATGTTGTATGTGACTTCTATAGGTTAAACTTTAAAAAAAAAAAATCATGAAAGAGCACAGAATTTGTTAAATTTATCGTCTGTATCAAGTGAGATGACCATGGCAGTCTCCACCACTCCCTTCCTAAAATAAAGCGGTGTGTTTTACAGACTGGATTTCCTGTCCTGAATAACATATGCATTCTGGGAATAAATTCAATTTGCTACTGTTTTGTTGAGGATTTTTATATAAGGTTCATAAGGACTATTTATTAGATTACAGTTTTCTTGTAGATGATATGATTTCTATTATTCAATACATTTTTAGAAATGTATTTTATTTTGTGTGTATGGGGTGTTTTATATGCATGTATGTCTGTGTACCCTGGTGTGTGCCTGATGCCCGTGGAGGCCAGAAGAAGATGCTGGATCCCCTGGAGCTGGAGTACAGATGGCTGTGAGCTGCTTTGTGGGTACTGGGAACCAAACTCATGCTGTCTGGAAAGTTGCCAGTGCTCTTAACTGCTGAGACATCTTTCCAGCCCCATTATATTTAATATATTCGATGAATGACAGTCTAGATTATGAGGAACTCAAAGGAAATTCATTATATCCTCTATCTTATACATACAACCAATTAAATGCTATATGTCGGTAACCATGTCAAAATATGACGCAAATGAAAACTTACCTAATCTGAAGGTCCATGATAATTTGTCTTTTGTCTACATTTTCAGTATAAACCTTAACACCATTGACTCTAAGGGGCTGAAACAATAAATAGTTTAATTTAAAACAGAGAAAGACTTAATAGCAAACAAACTTAAAATACAGAATAGATGCCGTAAGAACAAGTTTAACATCGGATCACGAGTATAATTCTGGTTGATAACACACTGTCTAACTTTGACAACTATTTAACTTGTGTCCCTCAGTTTTCTCATCTGTAAGCTATAAATAACAGGGACAGCGAAGTGAGATGACTGTGAATTTCAATGACACGATGAGCAGAAGTACACTGTAAGGCAGACAGTGAGTATTCGGTAGACAAGGGCATTACGTTTGTTGTTAGCATATGCAATAAATATATGTGCTTTTATTTTGAAGCCCCCTTTTGCCCTCATCTCTTTCAGTTTATTCTGGTGCTTTTCTTCCATTCTATCCTTGTTAATACTTCCCATTACCTTTGATTTATGTAAGTTTTTGCTTTAAAATTTCAAAAACAAACACCAAAAACACTGGGCTTTTGAGTAGATAAAAAAGACAAGGTACAGTCAGGAGTGGTAGTGAAGGTCTGTAGTCACAGCCCTGTTTTAAAAGGCCGAAACATGGGATTGCCACTTCCAGGCCAGTGTGGGCTACACAGTGACACCCTGCCTCAAAAAGAAAAATAATACTTAATATATGATACAGATAATTGATTATGCAAGCACAAAAGACAGACCATAAGACTGCTGTATTTCTTTCTTTCTTTTTTTTTTTTAAGACTTACTTTTACTTATGTGTATGCTGAGACTTTAAGAGAATGTCATTGCACCTGAGCTAGAGTCACAGGCGATGGTAAGTCAATTGTTGTGGGTACCAGAAATCAAACTTCGATCCTCAGAAAGAGGTCTGAAACACCGAAACATCTCCCTGGCCTACAGGTAGCATTTAAAGGCCAGACTGTGCTCTGTAGCAAGACTGTCTCAAAATGCCAAAAAACTAGATCTGCCCCTCACAGGGAGCGGGAGAGGGAGAGGGAGGGGGGGGGCCTAGCTGGGAAGAAGGGAGAGGGACAGAGAAGGGGGGGCTAGCTGGGAAGAAGGGGGCCAACAGTAGTGGGAAGAGGAAAAGAGCAGGCGATGGAGGTATATGTCAGAATTTATTACTTAATCATAAAGTTTTCTATCATAAATATGCATCAAGAGATGATTTCCCATCTAACTTTTAGGAAATGCTGAGAATGAAGACATTTGTAAGAAAACAAATTCAATAATTTATACAGAAAATTTTTGTTTGATAATATACAATTAAATTTTTGTACAGACATGAGTGATATAATACTTATGAAATCTGGATTGGTATTTGTTTTATGAGTGTTCTGCCTGCCTACGTGTCTCTGCATTGCACACACACATCGTGCCCTTGGAGGTCAGAGAGGGCACAGAATCCCTGGGTCTGGAGTCACAAAGTGTTGTGAGACATGATGTGACTAAACTTTTCTTTTTTTTGAGACAGGGCTTCTCGTGTAGTCCTGGCTATCCCAGATTCCACTCTGTAGACCAGGCTGTCCTAGAACTCACAGAACTCCGCCTGCCTGTGCATCCTGAGCGCTGGGATTAAAGGTGTGTGTCCCCCACTAATTTGGATTGCTTTTTGTTAAAGCTAGTAATTTGTATTTAAAATTGTCACTATTTTAAAAAGCCACAAACAGGACAGGAGAAACAGCTCAGTGGTTAAGAGCACTTGCTGCTCTTCCAGAGGGCTTGAGTTTGGTTTCCAACACCCACATCAGGCAGCTGTATGAATGCCTGTAACTCCATCCATCTCCAGAGGCTCGGACACCACCTTCAGGACTCCATGAAAACCTGTATGCATATATAACATATTCTCACACAGACACACATATACACACATAACAAAAATATAAATTAATTTAAAAAGTAAAACAGAAACAACAAAATATAAACAGCAGAGTGAGAGCGAGGCAATAAGCAGGCAGAGTCAGAACGCGTCATTGGGAAAGACTACGGGATTTGCAGGCCTTTCAATGCTCTTCAAAATGAACAATTCCCTTCAGGGCCTGGAACACTGCTGTGCTTTTACAGCAGTCCTACTGTGTGCGTGAGAAAGGGCACTAAGGAAGCAAGGAACTGACCTGCTGACCCACGTCCACTTTCGTGAAGCTGAAGGTGCTGAGGTGGGCATTTGCTCCTCGCACAGCTGGCTCTATGGTTTCTCGAAAGAGCTTCTCTATAAATTGACAAATAAAGGGCCACATGTGCTTCACAGTCTAGAAGGAAAAGGAACTCATGTTAAATAACTGTTATGATGTATGATACATAATTTAAGTGAGTCACTAAGAAAAATTATCATGTAGTCTATCAGAAAGCTAAAACAAAAGGGAGAGATGGTCTTGTTATTCAAAAGCAGTCCTGTCTAATGTGTTCTAAATGTTAAGCATTTATTTCAACAATAAACTACTGATTAGACAATATGCTACAGGAATTAGTTCCTTTGGTTTGACAATCTCTTTAAACATGTCTGCATATCTAATAATCACTAAAAGTCCATGGCTTCAACTGACTGGAAAAACTTAAGCTATGGCCAGGCAGTGGTGGCACAGCCTTTAATCCCCAGCACTCAGCAGGCAGAGACAGGCAGATCTCTTGAGTTTGAAAGGTCAGGCTGGGAGGGTAGTTCAGTGGTACACTTGCCTCTGGTGGTCCTTGGTTTGATCTCAACATCACAACGAAACTACACCAAACACAACAAAAGCTGTGTGGACCTCAGTAATCAATCCTGCATTTTATAATCACACATTAACTTGTATAACAGTAAAGTGATAACTGTCTAGGTCAGGGTCACTATATTGCCTTAGATAAGCTCAGAACACCAGCCAAGAGAGATTCAGCCTAAAACTTACTGAAACAAAAACATCCATTTAAAGGTATCATAGATGGGTAGTTTCTTGGGAGTTATTGTTCTCTTTATAATATTTCTAGTCGGTCTGCTTGTGATTTCTATAAAGCGTATGTGAGCAGCCTCTATTTGAGAATGAAGACACGAAGCCAGATGGCAATACCATGCAAGCACATGCATAAACCTTAGGTCAGTGACACAGCTCTCGATCTTCCCAGGGGAAAGCCACATACTGCTTGCAACAGCCCTCTGGGGAGCGGAAGCCTGCACACTGCCATCTCAGCTCCAATGCTACCAACACTAAAATTCCCAAACATGGGAAGACAGTCTCTGGCCCTCTAATTCCCACAGAATATTTGGAATATGCTAATCTTACCTTATTTAGCCATTCTGCTCTTTCGGTGTCTGGAAAATGAACCTGAGAGAGAAAAACACACACGCATGACTTAATGACTCCTGACAATCATAAACAAAATGATCCATAGGCTATTTCATATTTGTATTATCCTGTGTTTACATACGTTCTTTAAAACACTCTGCTCCAACACTTTCTAACACGGTCGCAGTGAAGGGAAGTTGATAAGTGTGGTACCTTACTTGCCACATTCTAAGAACTTGGAGGGAAAGGGTTTGGGGCCCACAAATACCAGAGCCTTCACGGCCTCCCACCACCCAAGTGGGTGCTCCCTGGCATCTGAAACTTCAAAGTACAAAAAAAAAAAAAAAAAAAAAAGCCTTCCTGCCTTTTAAAAATGACATTATCGTTTGCTAGAGCTCTAGACTCAGACCTCACGATCCGTCTCCTCTTTTTGCATCCTCCTTTCAGTCCTAGCCAGATGACTTCTACACGCAAGGGTCATCTCCATCAGTCTCCTGCCCACTCCCAAATGCATACCGAAACCACAGTCCTCCACAGGCCAGGCCTACTTGTCAGAAAAGTGACTGAAAATGCAGAAAGAACCCTACTTAAAAAGTAGGTGAAGAGTGTTTAGTCTGTTGTTGCAGCTAAAATAAAACATGCTTGCATGAGAAGCTCCAGCTGTTTTTGGCCACAAGGGAGCTTTCAGAAGAGGAGCACACAGGCCACAAACTGCGGGTCATGGGAGACTTGGTACTGGTGACTGAGATCTGATGATGCACGGAACTTTCCTGAGTTGCACAGAATGCAGTCCAACAATGCTGTCCTCCAGCTGAAGGAACTGGAACTGAGCAGGATAGTCTCAAAGGGTGCGGTGTGGCAACCAAGGTTTCCGAGACCCAACTCTACATCTCAAGTGTGATTATAAGAAGAAACAATAGGGCCTAGAAGGAGGCAATCCCTGGACACAGGTTAGGTCACTGATCACAGAGGGCTCATACTGGCTCTCACAAGTCTTGAGTGATGGCCCCTCCTCTGGGTTCTCAGCAAGACGAAAACAAGCAGAGCTTGTGACACTGGTAGTGTTATGGGTTCCCTCTGTGTCTACCAATAAGCTTCAAGGGGCCTTATTTCCCCTGCACCACAAGACGGTCAGAGTGAGTGGAAATGGTCATTTCTAAATCAGGTAGTTAAGTATAAATTCGTAGGGCGGGTTGGGGTGCAAAAAAACTTCCAAAACCGAGAAAATGGCTTGGAAGTTAGGGGAGACACTGTTCAAGAAGGTAAAGGGTCAGTGAGTAAGCGACTACACATGCACTTTCCTCTAGACGCTGTGCTCCGTAATAAGTGGGAGGCAAATTCTCAGCCAAATCAAACAAGCATACAAGAAAGGGCTGCACTTCCCCAAGGAACAGGAAGAGATTTGGTGGGTGCAGTGAGGGCAGTGAACAGACTTGTCAGACTTATCAAAATTAAGGCATTTGCAATCAGTACTCTGCCATTTCTTTACATTACTTTGAAGTAGTTTGGCACTTTAAAAGTCTGATCAGCAAGGGACAGTTTAAGGCAGAGCATTAAAACAGGTGTTTGGTACTGGATCCTTCTAATTTACTGTGTGGCTGCCGCCCACAGTACCCTTTCCTTCTAAACCAACCAACACAGAAAGATCAAAAGGCAAACACTGAGCACCTTCTGTTTGCTGACACAGAACTTGTGCAGTATAGAAGCACTCTAACTTCTGTAATTTCAGCGTGAATACCAAATTAACATTTCTGTAGGGCCTGACTTCTGGTACACTTGCCCTTTGATGTCCCATCGCCCTCACCTGCTTCCCCCAAGGCCTCTCCTGCCTGGTCTCCCAACCACTAAAGTTAGCTAACAGAACAAATATTCTAGAAAACAGGAACTTCCTTTTCAGTTCACCTTACTGAAGGCTTTGAATGCCTACATGCTTATCGGACAGTTCATCTCGCTCAGCCTGAGCTTCAAAGGCAGTGCAGCCACATAGTCTCTGGCCACAACGCAGACGCACCACTTTCCTCACAGCCTATTGAGTACAGAGCCGTGGCTGTGGACATGGAAAGAAGCTCCTCCCCAAGAGTCAGCTCGTTTCAGCTGTGGCCAGTTTCCCACGTTCACCGCCTGGAGACCAGTAAGTCCTCCACCCACAGTGCTGGGCCGCGTCTCCGTGAGCCGGCATTTGTCACAGCACGATCGTCACAGCATGACTTGGACATTCCTCAACAGACTCAGGGTTAGAACCTTCTTCCTCCAGACTACCCCTTAAAAACCACTGGACCATATATAATGAGCAGACCTTCCACTGAACATCAGAGAATTCCTATTCATAGACATCCTGTAACTTAATTTACAAGTTAAGCAAGGAAGTATTAGTCCTTGTATTTTTCAGTCAGTACACTACACTAAATCATATTTGTAGAGACCATCAAATAAACCTCTGGCCTTCCAATAATATCTTCAAAAGGTTTAAGGAAGGACTATGTCCATTAATACAAGCTACACCCAGATTTCCAACCAATAAAAAGTGATTAATAGGGACCATGCAATCTTAAACCACTGTTTGCATAGACATAGATGGGTGAGTATTTATATATGTCTGTTACATATATTTACATATTTATACATATACAAAATACTTTTAATTTATACACACCTATTAATGCATACAATACAGAAATACATTTCAAACCAGAACAAATAAAATGAATCTTGATTTTTCTTCTCTGTTGTCACAGTTTTGAATTCTTTGTGAGAGCCAAAAATTAATTTGTTATTCATTACTGTAATTTAAGATCAAGAAGTGTTGCAAGCTAGGTATGTTGGAATACATCTGCAATCCTTGCAACTAAAGGAGGCAGGAAGAGGTGAGGCTGGGTTACTAGGGAAATCCTGTCTCAAATCAAAAAGGAAAGAGAGAGGAAAAAGGAAAGAAAATGTTTCTAATACAGAAGTACTATATTTAATGAAACAATTAAAACTATGTGAAAATGTAATTTCCACAAGTTAAAGCATACTTTAATTACACCAAAAGAGAATAATACTCCAATATAGGGTTTTCTTTCTTGTTTCCTTTTTTTAAAATATAATTTTTAAATTTAAATTAGAAACAAGATTGTTTTACATACCAATCCCAGTTCCTCCACCGGCCCATCCTCCCCTGTCCCCTTTCTGCTCCCCTCGGAGGGTGAGGCCTTTCATGGGTGATCTTCAAAGTTTGTCATATCATTTGGAGCAGGGCCCAGGCCCTCCCCCATGTGTCTAGGTGGAAGGAGTATCCCTCTATGTGGAATGGGCTCCCAAAGCCCATTTGTATACTAGGGACACATACTCATCCACTACCAGAGGCCCCATAAACCGTCCAGTCCTCCCAACTAACACCACATTTAGGGAATCTAGGTCGACCTAGGGTTTTCTTAAAATGTAAGTAATCTACCCCAAATTTGAAAGAAAATTCTAATTCATCAAGTTGATCAAACACTTTACTGACAATCCATTACAATGTGATGACTCGGGGGAGGGTTCCAGAGTGGGGCTCTTCTACTCGCTAACACTGGCTGCACAGGGGTCTGCTAATGCACCAGTGAATTATTGTCGTGCTGTGCCAGGGAGGAGGATGCTCAAACTCAACAAGAGAAGCTTCCTCTATTCACAGCTGTGCACCATAATGAAAGTCATCACTGACACATGAGGACCTTGACTTCCTCAGAGCTTTCTGCCACTGGATGACTCTAATTACTGCGCACACACTGGATGTTCTCCCTAAAGAACACACATATGCACACATCCTTGAGTGACTTGCTTTGGAGAGAGAGGAACGAGCACCGGGAGGGATCTGATCTTACCTGGATGGTTCACTAACATTCCACAACCAGATGATATGCATGTAAATACACCACACACACACACACACACACACACACACACACACACACACACAGACCCTGACATGTATCCCTTTTGTACACAGGGATGCTACAGTAAGACAGAAAGCAAAGAAAAAAAATTAAAGGGATGTGAGAAAGAAAAGAACACCTCACTGCAATCTCAGTCTGGCTTAAATGACTCATCTGTTTAAAGTCAAGAATTTAGACAGAACTGATCAAAACCCTACATGACTTGCCTGCAAAGCTGACCAAACTACCACAAGATCTTTTTGTCGGAAGTCACAGAGATCCGCCTGCCTCTGCTTCCTGAGTGCGGGATTAATACCATGTGCCACCACCTGGCTACAAGAATCATTTTTATAATCAAACATACCAGCACAATGACTTCCAAAATCTTAGGACTCCTTTTTCATCTGTAAACAGATACAGTAGTATGCCTTGTAAAACACCACAAAGCCTCATTTGGAAGCAAAGAAAATCCTTTAGGTAAGAAGTAAGCTTAAACTTAATATTTAAACTTTACTTAATTTTTAAACTTGTTACAAATTACATAAACTTTTTACATACTACAACCATTTTATTGTTTAGACTCTTAGGTGTATAACTTTGATGACTATAAAATGTATTCTCCTTCGTTCTATGAACTCAACTTTACTTCAGACCAAGTCATTCCTGAACTGAATTTCTGTAGTGGTACTAAGTTAAGATCCTGGCTCCCATGTGGGCAGAGGCTGCTGAAGATAAGTCAAGCTGCACCACTGGCAAGGCAGAGTTGTATGTCCTGCTACTGTAAACACTACAGGAGCCTTCTGTCTCATTTGTGCTTTCTGAGACAGGATCTAAACTTTGGATCCCTGGCTGGCCTGCTGCTCATTTTTAAGACCATGCTGTCCTTGAGCTCAGAGATCAACCTGCCTCTCTCTGCCTTCCACGCACTGTGATCAAAGGTGTGTACCACTTTACCCTGCCCCAGATCATGTTTTAAATTTCATCTTTGACCATGGGTTTCACATATAAAGCTCCTCTGTCTGATAGACAGGAGTATCTCGTCTTCCAATCAGGTGGCCCTTGGTGGGCTCCAAGTTTCAGGATGGGTTTAGATGTGATGAGTGAAGAACTTCTAGGTCCCACGCCTTCACTGCACTAGGGGTAGAG